GAGCCATGTGAATGCTCAGTTTTGAGAAAAAAATGAGAGTTAAGTATTTTGATATATAATCAAAAATTACCGGTATTATATTTTTAATGCAGAGAAACGGATATTTTTCTGTCGAACAAAATGAACATATTTTCATGCCACACTTATTTTATCATTAAAAATAGACAATTATGAGGTTTGATGTTTTCGAGCATCGACGATTCTTAGTTGCTAATATTGTCCAATTCCAGTAACAACAACGCGATTAAACATTCAGGAAAGTCTTTCAACTACATGAGACAATACTTTTACACTTTCAAAACATGAATTGACATTTTCCAACAATGTTTTCGCTTTGAAATTATATATCAGGCAAAGCTTTTAAAGTTAGGCATAGGTTATAAATAAATATCAATAAATTCTAGTCTTTCAATGGACCTTATTCATTAAAAACCCATCCTACGCGCAAAAAATAAAAGTGATGTAAAAAAATATTTTTTAACATTAGCTCTTATGGGAAATGTGATCACCAGAGCAGAAATTTGCATTTTTTGTAATTTTCTAGATATCTTTCATTGTATACGTGAGCAGTTTTGAAGATAGAATATTTTTTTCATCTTTTTTGATATTTTTATCATGATAAACACGGTCAAGATTTTTGATAATCGTTCATCAAAATTTTAATGAGCGCGGTGTTTCCGATGACGTCATTCTCACTAGACCATGAGATTCTGCCAACGCGCCGTGCTCTGTGGGATATGCGCTGCAAATGCGGCCCTAACGTCGCTTTGGGTCCGTGTCCGTCCGGTACTGGAAGCGTTTAACATTTACAATCTATAACCCGTACCATTTCTATCACGTTTGTTTACTGGTTTTACGCATTTATACCTGTACAGCTAGCAATCATTTACTGAAGGCATGCTAACGTGTTATTTAAACTACCGGTACCGTACCAAGGCTGCAAGAGGTGAAAACTAAATTATTTAGTAAATACTGAAATAGGCCTACGAACAAAAATGTTGGCCATCTTGCCAATAGGCATGACAAGTTGTACGGTACCGGTATACAAAAAAGATGAATATCTCCAACCTATAATGGTACAATACCGGTCTCGTAACTAGGTTAAAAAACATGACTGAATACGAGAAGGAGATTTATTTTGTCAACCAGAATACAAGCATTGAATCAATAAAAATCATATACAAAACACACAGTTATTCGGTATAGACTGGGGAGCGATACGACCATCACAGTCAGCTCCCCCTGCCCCCCATGTTTGCTATCAAGATTAACAGTTATTTAAGATGTTTTAACAAAAACTTCTCGGGGGAAGGGTTGACTAAGTTACGGAATATTTTTAAATTCGGTTAAAAATGTAGTCCATTATTAAACACTGCTTTTTTTGTAGATTTTCACTTAGTGGACACTCAGCAAGTACGACAGTTAATTTATAAAAAAAAATTGTAAATCAATAACAAATCAGTAGAAGTCAGCTCGGGTATTCAAACATGTCATGATTGAAGTGAGAAAAAAGTTTGAAGTCACGTTTAGGATATTACATTAAACAACAATGGAAAAGGTACATTGGAATCAGTCAAGCTTCAAATGCTAATGGCATTAATGAAAAGAATATGCAAAATGAAGACTGAAGTTTTCATCTGAGACATTGGAAGACGCTAAAACCTTATAGACTTGATAGTGTGGAAAGCCTTCTCACAATGCAGTAATAATGGGACATATATTTATAATATCATTATACAGGCTTTAAGTTGAACTATATGTTTAATTAAAATATCTATCTTTGCTAATAAATGCTGAAAACCATTTATTTCAGTCTGCTGAGTGATTAGGGCCAGAAATTTGCTGTAGGGACCATCACCAGGGCTGGATTTACCAATAGGCTAGGCAGGCTGAAACCTAAAGCCTCGAAATTCGGTTTCAAAGTTTGTAATTCTTTTGAAAACTGGACAAGTTTAAACCCTACAAAAAGTATATATGTATATCAAGCTTTTCAGAGTAGAAAATTCTGTATACAACAAGTTTCAACCACATTGTAAACAGCCATTATTGCGTCGTTTGCATCATAATGAGGGAAATTATTATTATGCGCATTCTGCTGTAAGTTTCTATGTTAAAGTATGGCTGTAGCGGTTGTTTGATCAAAGAAATTGAAAGCAAAACTACCTCAAGTAAATTATCATTCTTTTAATTAAAAATTGGGAGAATGAAAAGTTTAATGCTTTCATATTTTTAAATTTTAAGCAATGACATGTGGTGTTGTTTAGAGAGAAATTCTGAGCGCAAAAATATGAAGGGGCCTCTCATGGTCTAAATCCAACCCTGAACATAACCAATTTTGGGATAGGTACCGTACATGGTAGGTACCGTCAACATATGAACTGAGTTAGGCCATTGGATTTTGAAAGGTGTACCAGAAATGTACATGGAATTCATGAAATATATAACATCCAATTAAAACCAAAATAGGTCTTTCGTTGAACGCCCGGTACCGGTATTCCAGTATTCTGTTATCACAAGCAGTTGGAGCACATATCCCACAGAGCACGGCGCGTTGGCAGAATCTCATGGTCTAGTGAGAATGACGTCATCGGAAACACCGCGCTCATTAAAATTTCAATGAACGATTATTAAAAATCTTGACCATGTTTATTATAATAAAAATATCAAAAAAAGATGTAAAAAATATTCTATCCTCAAAACTGCTCACGTATACGATGAAAGATATCTAGAAAATTACATAAAATGCAAATTTCTGCTCTGGTGATCACATTCCCCATAAGAGCTAATGTTAAAAAATATTTTTTTACATCACTTTTTTTTTTGCGCGTAGGATGGGTTTTTAATGAATAAGGTCTATTATCGTTTCAAATATATCATTATCATTATACCTGTTCAGTGGTTAAACATTTGGTATCAATAATATTCAAGTAATAGGAGACAGAATTAGTAAGTAAGATAGTAATAACTTTAACTTAGAAAAATCTCAACATGGATATCTGTGATAATTTATTCTGTATTATAAATTCTTACAATTTGCAACAAATATGGAGGCAATAAACTTGTTTAATAGCTTTATGGCCCTATTCGAAGTTTTAGCTTGTTTATTGTAGGTTCAAAAAATAATCCGCCATTGTTTACAAAACGTAATTGTTTGTAAATACATTGTGTAAAAGTAATGTATTCCCACATAAATCAAAGTAATCTCGCACGGCGCGCCCATATGTAACCGCTCTTTCAATTAGCGATACATGAAACCAACGGCATTATCAAAATCTTTATAACTTTGATATACGGAGTACGGATAGTTCCATTTTTGTTCTTTTTTTCCCTGTAACTCAAAATTTATGATTTTCCACTTTTGTAGTATTTGTTGTTTCCGTTTGCAACCGTCTATTAGTTTAATGTGAAATTGTTTTCACTCGAAAATTTTCATGTGATTTATCTAGACCAGTGGTTCCCAAACTAGGGGTAATTCCCCCTGAAGGGGTAATTTGACAATTTACAGGGGGTAATCCATTCGTTCAATGTCTTAAAAATTATGACCATTAAAACAAAATATTGAAACAAGCTGATGATTGACACCGATTTAAAATGTCTGTCGTCCACTTTTCCTAGGTTCAATCGCTTGATAACGCAGAAACAATGTCATCCTTCTCACTGAGATTAAATCGGGATTGTTGTTCCCATGCTTTTGGATTCCTATGTTATTGTCGTTATTAAATTTGATGAATTATGCGCTAAAATTTTTTTTTTTTATGAAAGGGGTAATTGAGCTTTTGGTAAATCGATTTTGGGGTAACGGTAGTGAAAAGTTTGGGAACCACTGATCTAGACCTTACATAACTATTGCATTGTTGCAGAACATATTCAGAATGTTATACACATATTTATATGGTTAGGCGAATTTTAGTGGTTGTGATTAATTTAATTTGTTTCAGAGAATCATCGAAAGCGCAAAATATTTAAATTTTTTAGCTTTAATCTTCAAAATTGAGTTTTATCCTAGAGTTAGACCGTGTACAAATTCTATTAAAATACATGTCATTTACACATATCCCCGCCCCCTCATAGCATCTGCAATATTTTTGGTCACCCAAATTCTTTGTTTGGATATTACAATTTTTTTTTTTTTTTCAAAAATAAATGCAGAATGAATATTTGCCGGAATGTTTTTTTCATAAGGGGTGCTAAGAGATACATCCAGATTTAAGTTCATTACATCCCAGTAAATATAGTTCCATTGGGAATACATCGGATTCGAATTGAAAAATGTCATTTAACCAATTTTTGCAGATTTCGTCGTCTTTAGTAAACAAAAACTTCAGTGATGATTAAATATTTTGTTGCTTTTCAAGATGCTAATAATTTTATTTAAGGCTAATCTTCTCAATTAAAATAAATTGTTGGCATATACAAACTGTTGTTGTGTATTGTGTGTGATGTGGCAACATTCGGAAAGTTTCGGATTAGTGCGAAGCATTCCCATTATTTATTTCGACTATACTTACCCACCGACAATCTAAGATTAATAATAAAGTGTTGAAGCCATTCAGTCCAAAATCTTGGCAAATAATGTGCGAATAAGTATATTTTAAGTAATTTGCATTTGAATGTTCAGTCAAGAACAATCTTTACAATTATAGTGATGTTATCGCTTTAAAGTAATTGTGTGCTTGTTAAGGACATTTTAATCTAGACACAATTTACCAATTAGATTCAAATTGTTTTCGATTGGTATTTGACTGTTAAGAAATACTAAAGCCATTGACTTTAAGTTGCGGTGATCTGTAATTGACTTATCAGTTTGGACTGACGTCTAACATACAAGTATGCTATAAAATTAAATCAACTAAGTTTTAACCAAAATTGTGCATGGTTAGATCTATAGGAGATACTGTACGAATTGCATGCCCCTCAGAGTTTAGGTTTATGAATCTTCACCATAAATAGCATGGTATAAATATCTAACTATCAACAATCGCCATATTTGTTTTACGTACCTGTTCGAGTCGGAGACATTACATCGCTATTGCGGAAATCAAGTTGCTTTGCTCCGCTGATCTTCGTTGTACATTCCCGTTCATCTCTTTCCATCGGCGTGGGGAATGTCATGTTAGAATCACTTGATTTTCGGTACATAGCAGGAACTTCGCACGTTGTTGTTACATCGATATTCTCGTTACTCGGAGATGGTGAAGATGGGTTATCACTGGATTCGACATCTATTTCTTCGTTTTCGATGTCTGTAGAATGGCTTCTTGGCGAAGAATCAGGATTTTCTTTGGTTGGAGCAACGAAGGCATATTGATGCTTTGGATCAAAACTGCTACCACGATAAGTTGGGTTAATTTCACGGTTACCAGTCAGAAAATTCGGTATCATGGAAGCACCTCCTAATCGGGAATAGGGAGCAGCATGTACTGCGTCACCACGTCCATTTTCCCCAAGTCCTTTGAGTGAAATTCCATTTCCCGATGGCACTGGGATGAAAGGAAAGCCATTGTGTTGACGAGGCCCCATTTGCCGATCTGATTCTTCGTGTTCGGGCAAAAAGTTTGAATTTCTTGCAGAAATATCGTTGGATGAAATATGTCGTGTCTGGTGGTTCTTGTTACTGTATTCGCCACGATCTGCTACTTTCATGCCAACCCAGGACGTTTCTTCTACGCCGGTTACATGATGATCATCTGGATGCCCCATATTCATAAACAAGTTTTTTATATTCTAGTATACCAATAATTTTAATACATTATGTAAAACAAAATTGATATTTGAAATTCGTTATTTTAAATAAATCCTCACCTTTCTTTGCTCTTTCTTCTGAATGTTTGACTTTTTAAACGAATCTATGAAGTCAGTATCGTAACAAAAGTTATCTGAGGCAATAAACCCACAAATTTCTAGAGGAAGTTGTTACATCTTTCAATTGCTAACATACACTTCTGGAAAATACTTCTATCGGCCTCTATCCAACTCAATATTACCCTTCTGGAGTTCTTCACTATCAGGTGTAGAATACTCGTCAAAAGTGAAAGGGTGGAATATTATACTCGAAATTGGCGAAACAAATTGACTATCACCGGTCAGTCATATTCGCCGTTTTTCACTGCCGTCTATCTCTCGATGTCACTTAATATGACTTTTCAAGAGATAAAATATGTAATACCTTTGCGCGCTTTTCTTCTCTCGTTAGACATGCAGGTGATCTCTCACTCCATTATTAAAGAAATATAGAATAGCGTCAATCGTGCGTCTACAACGATAATTAGGAGACAATCCTTGTAATATTAACAATTAGGCTTGAATGGAAAATAGGAAGCATTTCGAAAATTTAAACGATTTAACTGCATATAAACAAATGACTTTTTGCTTCATTACCATATATTTTGGTATCTTGTTTTATCGACAACGTACAGCGATATGTTGGTTCTGTCCCCACGGTTATCATATTCCCTGTGCGCAACAACAATTTGTAATTCCTTGATTATCGCACCAGTAAAACCCCTTAACAAAAATCTTGAAAGTTTGAAGATTTTTGAAAGTTTTTAGAATTTATAGGCCTTGACTGGTATATATAAGTATTTCAAAATATATTTGACAACTACGTTACTGGTTTCGCCACATTACGCAATATAACCAGAGTTGCCTGTAGCTGTAATCCAACATTAATCCTTATTCCAACTATTTAAATGAGATATGAATAAAGTACGTTTCTAATATAGATGAACTTCCTTTGGACCACATTGCCTACGCCTACTGTATATGTATTTCAGTTGCGATAAATAAATAGTCACTAGTCAGTTCCAAAAATTCGTCGGTATATTTCCCAAATCGAAGGTTAAATTGATATATTACATTTAGAGTTTGATCAATAGACATTGTCGCTGTTAGTACGTTCCTATTTGATGCATCGTACTTCAATAAAATGGTTTTCTAGCACGGGCAAACGAGTAAGAAAAATGGCTGTGCGTCCGAATTTGAGATAAAAATAAGTCCGTAATGCGCCACAACGTAACTTTAGTAACCAATTTACACGATATTTATGTGATTATTGTCGAAAGACGTATTTGTACTTTATACGACCTTATTCTAGGAGCCAGGACCATCAAACAATATTCATTACCGGTAAGGTTTCAAATTTTAAAGTACTCGTGTACATTTACTTTCCCTACTTTTTGTTAAATGTATAGCCGTTTATGAGAAGTTGTAAAGAATTTGTAAACAATATACGTAATTACGTTATATTTACGCAAAGTTTTTACTAATTACGTTCATCTCATGTTTTGATGTCGCTAATGATATCATTAAAGGTTACTTGAATGGTCATAATCTAATATACGCGCGTCGCGACCGACAGACGACGTTTTCGGCGTGGTGATTACGGGCGTAACCGCCCCTTAATTGTCATTTACGAGTTGTAATATATTCGACCGGGTGAAGTATGATTTGGGCGGATGATTTATTCACAAGGTGTGACGAGAAATAAAAGTGATGTAAATTACAAATGGGAGTATATAAAAATAGCGGCGTTTCTTAATGAAATATCTCTCGCAAAGCAATCAAATAGAAATAGAGCAATAAATATGAAACGTGTAAAATTTAATGTTCTCCGCAATTTAATATCCGTAAATCATTGATAATCACCAATAGAAAATCCTCGCCTGCATTGCTTGGAATTTTTGTTTTTAAAGTTATCAAGCTCTCATACGTATCCAAACTAAAGTGGATATTCATGCACCAAACTTGAATCGTGTGTTTATGGGTAGAAAATGCACACAAATCGAAGCATATTTTTTATTTAGAAATGCCTATGAATATTTGGAATTTTTATGCAAGAACCAATGGAATAATACAAAAATGTCTTGTATTTTTTTTCTATTGTTTTCATCTTGTACCCTTCGAAAAATAGGTAGGGGTTCTTTTCAAGTCGGATAGAAAATTGAGTTACATTACTCGATTAGTCATATAGCGATAGACACAAATAAGGGTAAGGTATGATGTAAAACAATAAGCTATTTGAAGCTTATCACAATATGCTTCCGAAATGAGTCGCCACTAACCTTTTATTTTTTTTACAACTGCTAATTATAAGATGTAAATATTTATATGTAATCAAATGAATACAATGATTTGGCTTAGACTTTGTTTGTCTGTGTGGCGTCTGTTATGTAATTAAACAAATTATTGAAGTTGGAGATTTTGCAATAGCAGCATTGAAGCATTGTTATCAATGCAATGTGGGTTTTTATACTAGAACTAGATTGCCATTATCGAAAAGGTTGCGGTAGATATTCTTCTCGAGTTAATAGATTTTTAAGTAATTTTAAGCGATTCCGTGCCATGCCATCGGAAAGTCAGCCAACAATCTTTATACCTGAGCAATTTGACTAATTTCCCATTCATTGTTATAAAATATTCCTGATTTTTGAAAGCATTATCACTTTTTCTGTAGTATTACACTTGGACATAACCTAACCCTTTCTGCTGTTGAATAATTACGTTTCAAATAAATAAGGCGATTGCTAAATTCACTGAATTATGAAAAAGAGTTAGCACGTCACCACAAATACAACCCCTAATAGCGTGAAATGTCATGAATTTTGTCCTTTTTATGACTGATACGGTTGAGAAGTTAGTACCAACTATTTGGGCTAAAGCTAATAAAAATCCATTAAACGCTATTTGGGTCGAAAACATAGAAAAATGGCACGTGTACTTTCGCCCTGGTGTCTATAGGAGTGCTGTTGATCATTATTCCGCGTGCGTGAGCGTAAAGTTGGGGCAAACATTGATTAATTTAGTGGTAATGCCCGATGAAATTTTTTTGTCAATTGATACATCTGGTTTTCATAACGATGGAAAAGAGAAATGGTTCACGTTCCAACAGCTTTCGAGTCAAAGTGGCTTCATTTAATTTAAGTGCATTCAATATTTAAACTTCGGCCTTTTTAACCTCATCAAAAAGGTGAAAACACCAATTTTGTACTATGCCTTGGTTAAACATATCATTCTCAATCGCGCGCAGGGTTAAATGTGACCAATGTACCACATACATCAGCATCAACTTTACGGTTGAAAACCTTATTAAACACGCTTGTGTTGATACCTCAGCCAGGAGAATAATCAGAAGCTGAAATAATGGAAAGACAAACATAGTAATTGTTTACTTTTCATTTCCACCTACCCGATTGAAACAGGTGTTCACCGCCATCCGTAGAGATTCCTATTGCTTTGCCATACCCTCGGAATGTTTGATGCTGCTACAGTTGTTATCCGGATAATTGCTGGTAAATAAACGCTCAGGTTTGGTTTTTGCACTATTTCGTTTCCTACTTACCATAATCCAGTAAGCTACTTATGATTAAACCCAACGCATCCGTTGTTTGAGAAGGCTTTGATGGAAGATGCATGGCGCAACTATAAATATTACCGCTTAATTAAAGTTTGATGTATTCGTCTTTAAAAAGTTTGTATGTATACGTCGAAAATCAACGTTCAAGTTCTCGTAGAGGTCAAGATAGCTCAGTCTTGTGAAATAACAACAAATTTCCGAAAGGTCGTTTGATTTATTCTAACTATAGAATACTAGATTGTTTGTGCCGAATTTTTTTCCCAAGTCTACCGGTCGCTTTTCTCTATCAGATGATCGTCTTCGTGATATCCAAATACTCGTTTATACTTTGTTTGGTAGTTTGAAGAACGAAAAAATTCCGTTGTTTTTTCCATAGAATTTTTTGGTAGTTTTTAACATACGAAACCACATCGATTTGAAACAGGGCCTTTTTCTTGACAAGATAGACTGATCTGCGCAACTGCATTGTTTTGTTATACGGTTGATTAAAATTATTACTTTTAATTTTAGTTGTTAAACTTTTAAAGTGATTACACATAAATAAACCTAAATTTTTTATGCGTATTCATGTATCATCTGAAAAAATCATTCAAAAATTACGCTTTGCCCTGCATGATAAGGACCCAACTGTGTTCCCGATTTCACTCTGTTATGTTAAAATATATTATGTACATTATGCATGCAAACGAAAGTAGTTTGCAAACTTTCTGCTACTGAATAATGTACATTAAAGCGTCGACATACATCCTAAGATATTTTAAATCGGATCATGCCTCGGGATTACTTCATCATTCCCGGCTTTAAACATCAACATACATTAGGATGTACTATTTCATTATTGAACCTTTAGAAGGAAACATGTTATTTATTTACAAAAACAGTTCTCGATGAACTTTTGTAACATAAAGCACGCGAATGTCAACTCGACATGTGTCCATTATGGACAAGCAATTAACGTTAAATATCCATCAAGACGGAAAGATGCCATATTTGCAATCATAATTGCTGATGTGACGAGTGAAATAGACGTTTTGCACGTTTACTATTTCAAATGTAAGTGCCATTCTGGAGTGCTTAATTAAATATTTATGTACGCCGAAAGAGTAATTTTCATTTAACAGGCCACTGATGTGTGGTGAGATGCAATGTATTATGCACATCGCTTCTCCAAACTTTCAATTATTTGTTTTCCAAATTTTTACATGAAGTTTGTTTCCTTCTCAGCCCAGCCTCTAATCTGCAATAGTAACATTGATTAAAAAACTAGAATGTGATATCGGAAACCTCGAAAACTAAACATGGTTCCCAATTCATATACTAAATTATCTCTTCCAGCATATCATTTAGAATTTGAAGTAATTGATTTAATATATAATTATTCTATCATTTGCTTATAAGTTACCATATATATGCAAGAGACTTATTTTTTGAAAATACCAATATATTTTTTTTTGTTCCCGTAATGCTAATTTAACTCGTTTAAAATAACAAAATGATTCCTTGTATGGTGAATACTATATACGAAAGTATCGCGTGTTAAGATGTACTATCGCAAGTTTTTATTTGGCCTATATCCAAGTAGAGGTCGTTTCATAAGTTTATATTTGCGTTTATTAAACGCACTTTATACAGTGATAAGATTTTCATTTGTCACACATTTACCCCGAGACAAATTTCGTTAAAGCGTCGAAAACTTAGTATATTGCGAGTTAGCGACATCACATTTGCAGAAAAGGGAAATTCATTCCGAACTCAGTACCACAATCCCCAAGACCCGATATGTTGAAAGTTTTAACATGCTTTATCTTGTACGAAGAGCTCTAACGCTCGGGGCGTGACATAACGATTAGAACAAAAATCTCTCAAAAACTCAGTTATTGTTATTCTTGATTACGACGTATTATTTAAAAGCATAAGATGCTCAGTTCTTCGCGGTCGTCATCATTTAAAATATATGTATGTGAATATAATTCGCTTTATTTATTATAATCAGAAGTAATTCCTCTTCAGAAAGTCTCATTGCGATTTGATACAAAATGTGTCTCTTCAGCGTCATTTAGCGTAAAGAATTAATACTTCTATTCTATCATCTATATTTCATAGGTAGAATAAAGGGAGGGAAATGAAAAAAATAATTTATATAAAATATGATACATGATTCTATTTTGTCATACTATAAATCAATATAATTTTAATAACAAATCTTATGATTCCCATTGCATAAAAACATTGCCACAATATTATTGGACACGTTAGTCAGTTAGTGAACATAACGATCGTTTTGCATTTTATGCTGGCACTCTTCTTCTTATTGGTGTTCTTGTTCTTTGTCACAGAAAAAAAATCGCTTTTCTCTTTGATTACCGGACCAATCGCTTTGAAATTTTCAGTGCTCAATGATTAGATTTTGCGCTAGAAGACTATTACTTTTATTTATTTCAAATATTCCGGTGAGCTGTATGGGATTCGTTTTTTGTGGTGGGCTATGGGTGGCGCTACATATCCATATCCATATAGCTCTCTTGTTGACTTTATAGAGATTAATACTCTCGTTTGGATATATATTGTTCAAGTATTCGTTTCATCCACCAAGATTGTCTTTTTTTTTCGAAATCTACTCAACAAAGAGCGATCGAGCGTTTTAAAAAAAAAATCTGAAACACACAAGATGTATCAGTTGCATGGACTAGGAATTTTTCATAATGCATCGGGAATTGTTACTCTCTGCCGCCGCTAGTGCAATGACTCATAATGTGTGCTCATATTAGATATTTTTAAAATCATTTTATGTTGCCGTGAGACAGACAGTTCCTTTTTACTTCCGTGCATTTTTGATTTTTTAGTAATTAAAATAACATGAATAATCAAATTCTCTAAATAGAGTTTGTTTGACTGTCTCTAACACTAGAACAGACAGTAAATAGCATTTGAATATGAATTAGAATGTCCCAAATTTTATAGGTACGGTTGTGATGCACAAATTTATACAATTTTTTCGCGGCTTTATACATCAATTCGGTGAAATATTATTATATTCGGTATATTTATTTAACAAAATGAATGAAATGAGCGTGATTGCATGACATATATTCACAGGATTGAATTAAATGCAGTGCGTATATGAATCAAACGACAACTTACATGGAATAAACAATTATACTTTAAGGAAAATTAAGGCTGATAAATTTAAAAGTAAGACGAAATTGGGCCCTCCAAGAAACCGCACGGTATATTTTTTCCTACAATACTCATAGTCATTAAAGTCCTGCTGCTGTAGCTCCTAAAAAATCTGCTATCTTATTTGATCATCTATTACATATGAGCGCTACTGTAGATCTCTCGTTTAGGTATTAAAGTTTAGTGAATTAAATAGACATGTTATTCCCAAAGCCCGTGTTCACCCTGTATACGGCTGATATTTGTATAAGGTGCATTCTCAGCAACAACACTTCGTAATTAATACATTGTTTTTTAAAATAACTTTGGTTTAAGGCAAGAAAAGGTTTCGATCTTTTGGCATTATTGTCATACTGGCTCATAATTATCTAATTGACTCTTGTTCAATAAATCTACTATGAATATCAATATTATACTACCGATTATCTATATATATTAGGTGTCGCTGCTCGATAACCAGTACTGGTTTGTCGCGTCCCCTTTCGCCCTAATGCAATTTTTTTCCTTTTTTCACCTAATTTTGTATGTATAACGTGTATTTTCAATATGGAGAACAAAAATTGCTGATTTCTGATTACTATGACCCAGACTCCACCTGTAACTCGGAGCAACACGAACTTAACCTTTAAATCGTTAGGACAGGGATTCAACTCAAACTTGCTGGGACCCGGATGACACTTGACTGGAATGCACTCGAAATTTGGATGCTAAAGGCAACATGTATATTAATAATTTGCATTTAATTGAATTGGTGTGCCGTGAGTTGATGAAATTCATACAAAATATTATAAGTGGTTCCATTTCAAATAATAGTCATTATCATATAAATCAATAAATTTTAATAATATATATATATCTATATGAATTTTTTTAAGCATAAAAACATTCCCGCAGGATCATTGACTTGGAGTTAGTGATCTTCTCTTTTGAATAACACTTATAAAATGTTGTTCAAGTATTCATTTCATCCATTAATACATCTTCTTTGTGAGATTGTCTTGTTTTCTTCCGAAATCTTCCCAGCAAAGAGCGATCGAGAGGAGCCAAGAAAATTCTGAAACACACAAGATCCATTCATTAATCGCTAAGTAATCAGTAAAATAATCTACCGGGAAATGTTTCATAAATGGTATCGGAAAATATTACTCTCGGCTGTCACCAAGTGCATTGACCTATACAGAGCTAAACCAGGTCGTAGAGTAGCCTATATATTTGATATAACATTTCAAACATGATCCGTATTAACCTTCTCGAGGAGTGATTCAAAAGATTTTAGGGAATTAGTTAAATGCGATTTTGGACATACCATAATTCAATGCAACTTGAATAAAATAAATAATTATATTGTGAAGGAAATTACAGCCGAAAAGTTCCACAATTTCCCCCCGCATTTACTGATATCAAACTTACAGCCAAAATAGTCCAGCAGCTGCTGATCCTAAAAGATCTGCTATCCATATCAACCAGTGCCGATTCCATGCATCTCCCCCTGTGAGAACTGCAGGTCCAAAAACTCTTGTGGGATTTAGACAAACGACTCCTGTCCATTTTCTGTTGAACAAAAATAATGAATTATATAACCTAAATATAGATCAATGTAACATCTTCCTTAATTAATGAATCCACAAGCCTGTTTTTTCAGGTATACGTATAGTTTATGTTATATTTTAAATAATTAATAATAATTTAATCATATTACGAGCGTATGTTGGATAGCCTCTACTCTGGGATATCTCACCCGGAAAGAATCGACATGAATACAGCCATGGCGAGACCCATTGCTCCTAGAGGGTCATCGTTTTTAGGATTTTGCGTCAATTCTGCGGCAAAAATTGTGAAACTTGCAACAAATATCATTTCGCTGGCCAATATACTCCATGAACTTGCTTCGTCAGGAATGATAAGAGCTTGTGGAGGAGCTCCTCGTATTACCTAATAATATAAAGTTGAAAGAGTGTTCAAATTACTGCTGAATCTTTGCAATTGAAGTGTCACATTCAAAGTTAGCCACAAGTAAAATTTTCAGTGAATACTGTTAGTGTAACTAAATTAGCTGAACTATTTGATCTAAATATTCACTTTTATTCCATACCTAATTATTCCCAAATGAAAGACTTACTTGGGACATGAAAGCTGCACATAGTGAGCCCAACATTTGAGCAATAGTGTTTGGGATGAACAGTATTGGTGACACTGTACCAACAACCACCAATGTCATCGTGATAGCGGGATTGAACTGGGCTGGAGCAGCACTGAGTGAATAAATACAAATGATATGATATTAATTAAACTGTGATGCAATCCGGGTGGGATGAAGTGTAAGATAGCCGCAGGTTTCAATACGGAACAATTCAAGCTTAAAGAAATCTCCAATAGGATGATACGAGTGTACGTGATTCTGAAATCCCGTTGTAGGCCCGCTGGCGATTGGCAGTAGTCTTCTATGACGCTTTTCAGAATTGAAAATCAGTTTTTTCAGTCCACACATCTCGACATAGTGCAATCATAAATTGCGAATGCTTAATCCTTATTAGAGAAACACACTGCGTGGCATTTATGCACTACCAATATATCGGATGAAATTAGTAAGACAATGTCATTTGGCCAAGGTAATAAATGAATAGCATTCCTAAGTCAATAACATAAAAGCCGTGAAAATTTGCTGCGTGTGATCTTAATCGGATAAAAAAAAATCAAAATCAAGACTTGTTAAATGGCGGCTGAAAATATATTCTCTTATTTCGAGTAATTTATTCTACTGTTTACTTACTCCATTTTTGCGAAGAGTGTTATTGTTACCCATACTGAAATGCCAGTCTGGAAAGCAGGTACGAATGTGTACATCATATAATCTTTCTCGGGTGCTTCGATAGCAACAGTGCTGGAAAAGAGAAAAAGCCTTTTACCAATAAATCAAGACTGTTCAGTGGTAAACTACAAACATTGTGCTCCAACTTATAAGCTTAAATGTTGATATAAACTAGGCTGCAACATCACTCTCAGCGTCTCAGGGATAAAAATATTTTGAGAAGGCGGATACCTCTTGGATGAGGTCAAGATATTGATATCAATGTCATGAAATGTATGACTTTTAAATGCCTAATAATTTTTTCTGAATTAAATAAATGACGCCACGACTATAACAACATCAATTTTATTTAATCATATGTCGTGACATACACACAAATATTAACATTCGGTACCATCGGTTATGCTTAGTAATGGAGTTACATATGAAGCCATGACGAATGGATTCACGGTATATGAACCGAATGATACAATAATGTTCAATTTGACAGTCTTGATTTGTATTTCGTCATGATACGTAATTGGAAATCTCGCTACAATGTGATTTGCACCTGATGTTTTCAATTGGAAGTAAATACTAGAATAGTCGAAATCGTCTTCCATCAGTGAACTAAGTAAATACCTGTTGCCATTCTCCTCAATTGTATGTGATCGCTGTGGTTCTTCTGTCATCATACCCCAAAATGCCATTATGAATTGTGAGCAGAATTCAATTACCAGTGGAAGCGCGATGTGCTTGACTGGATCTCTTTTCATATATTCCAAACTAACTGCCTTTCGAACCATTTTATATTTTATTCATGTACTAGATATGGTACGAATTTAAACCTATGGACTCAAGATAACATACATAGAGTTAGCAAGTATTCGTTCGACAAACACAATCGTTGGTTGATTGCTAGTTAAACAATGTGAAACAAGGCCCAGATCATTGGTTCGATGTAAACGATATCAATCGTGTAGTAAGGGCACAACAAAAAAGTATCAATTTTATTTCAAATTAGAAAATATGTGTATCAGGGTGCTACAAAATGTGTGTTTAAAAATCGTTTGCCCTGTTGTTGCTCGTTGTAAACAGCAGTTATCGTAGCAGTTATCATAGGTATATATATTAAAGTACCTAACGAGCACGTCTGTTATGGTGGCTTAAAGATGAATTACGGCACTACCGTTCTTGTAACAGTGAAATTTGATATACATTCACACCGTTACAAAACTGGACGCAGTGCAAAACTATAAAAACTTAGTACACAAGCAAGGTGTATATATTTCCCCATTTATAGCTGGGAAATTGCAAGCAAGGCTAATACACTACCGCAAAGTTCACTCATTTCTATACCAACTGCCTACGTGTGTGTACATATCTTGTCCTGCAAATCCAACACTTTTAAACTATCTATATCATCTTATTATCACACGGCCCAACTTGTACTGGTTCTTGGAATATGCTTTGATCAATATTTTACATTGAACTTTCAATAAATAAATCATCGGTTCGTTTGTCCCGAGGCGTATTTTAATCATTTATCAAATATAAGCGCTAATCTGCATCTCCATTCCGGGTATCATACTTTAGTGACAGATTAAACAGACCGCGTATGCACAAAGCCCGTGTAAACCGCGTATATTGCTAATATTTGTATAAAGTGCGTCCTGTAATTCTTCGTGATTGAATACTTATAATCTGAACAACAACACTTGGTACTTAACACTTGTCGTTTTACAATGCCACTTCGTTGCCGATAGAACAGTTAATGCTCATAATGCACACATGGCAATTTTGTACATAACCAAGTAAAAATAAATGTAAATCGTTTTACATCGCAAAAAAACAACAGAGTAACTTGGAAGAGCGTGTGTAATAAACATTTACGCAAATTAAACCGTAATTATTTATGGGCAGAATGCCAAGCAATCGTGTTGCAATTTCAGAGTTCACGTGTTGCAGAGTTGCCAGCTTTTGAAGGGGCAAATTTTGAATGAGTTGGACATAAAGTCATAATTTCGAACTGCTGCGGCGCGTCTGAAAGATTTTAGATCAGTGGTTCTCAACCTTTTTCCTTTCATGGCTCACTTTTGTGGTGCGAAAAAAATTTCGTGGATTATTAACTTCCTCGTGCAAGGGAAAACCTAGAAGCAAAACAAAATGTTCTTTTTGATATTAATTAATGATAGTAATTAAATTGAGAATTACCACCAAGAGCCAAAAAGTAGCATCAACATCCGTTGCTATTACAATCAAAGTTTGGATAATTTATCAATAATTATGACAATTTTTGGGGCTCCCGAAGTATGCGAACCAAGATGGCGGACATCGGAATGTAATATGTGTACTAGGTTAGGGTTAGGCCATAATTTTAGGTATAAATACTACGGGAGGCTCTTGGCTAGTCTTCGACCTGATAATAGGACTAAAATTAGGAAAATTGGAAAAAAATTATCGCCTAACCCTAACCTGTTACCCATGTTACGTTCCGATGTCCGCCATCTTGGTTCGCATACTTCGGGAGCACCCAATTTTTGATAGGTTTGTGGCCCACCTGGAAATGTTTCTGTGGCTTAGAAGTGGTCCATGGCTAACTGCTTGAGAACCAGTCCTTTAGATAGATAACAGTTGAAAACAAGTTGTTTGGTCCCTCATTGCATATCTTCTAAATCTAGTTTAATGATTTTCAATCCCTTTAATCCGCAGAACACTTTTTATGTCATAAATTGTTGGCGGAACACCAAATCATAGTTTAGGATTTACCAGAAATAGACGATCTAATTAATCAATGATTAACTCCGTATTATTTGGCATAGAAAAGAAATATAGAAAAGACCAATGGCCTATACACTGAAGTTGAAAAAGATATACCAAATTTAAATTTAGGATACGTAGAGCTTAACACCCAAGAGAAGTTCAATAAATCAGACCACGAAACGGTGAAATACCAACGGGGATTACCTAAACAGGCTGTAAGAAGCTTGCAATAGCAATGGCATTTTATTGCTATATTTGGGTTTGTTTCGATAAGAAACAAAGACAAACACGAAGTTATTCTTCGATGTTTTTCGCGTTTTTTTTTAACTTTCCTTTCAGATATCTACGTATATATCAGGCATGAGTAATTGATATAACGTGCGTTCTAAACAGTGTTGTCATATTATCTTAATTTCTGCTATGATGTCATAAAACATCAACTTCAGAGACCGCTTCTTTTTAAACCTCATACTCGTTCTATTGAATTTTGATTTCTACTTTTGTCTAATCTGGTTTGTCACCATATAATATACCAATACCAAAAATTGTAAAACACCAATTCTTCGCGAACACATGAACGTCTCCCATGGAACACCACTGTCGCGGAACACCGGTTGAAAATCACTGTTCTCGTCCACAGCTTCCCATGCGGGTGTACCATCGAGAAGGTACCAAGTCCCCTTAATCCAGGGGTTTCCAACCGGGGGCCACGGAGCAGTTCAAAGGGGGTCACGACACAAGGTCAATAATCGATCATAAATCGACTTCGTTTGCATACTTTTCTTTTATATTTGAAATTCCCCGTCCAGTCGTTTACAGCAGTTTTATTATTTTATCATTTGCGATCACAGGGTGTATTCTGTGCCTGTATTGTTTGATCACAATGGAATTTAAAATCTACCAAACAAAATAGTTCGCTGGTAGGCCGTCTAACCTGCAGACGGGCGGTTTCACTAGACTGCGAGATAACCTTCAGTATCGTATTATAGACGCAAAAAACCATATGTAAATTTCTAATGCCCAAAATACGAAAATGGAAAGACAGTTACGTTGGTTTTACCAAAGTAAATCGAGTATATAATGTGCTCAATGCATGCATTGCTTGTATGTAATGGGCAATGAATCATTACGTCCATCTAAGCTCCAAAACCACCGTGACAAAAATTATCTCCAGGTGGAAGACGCTGACATCGGTTTCTTGGCGGCTGTCAGGTTTGACAAGAAAGCAACATTGGCCAATATCGGGTTTCTATCGGAGGAAACAAAATCTAGAAACCGTCTTAATTTTGACGGTCATATCAAAGACGGTGGCTAATATAAAAACCCCGTCAGACAGTCCCAAGCGCAAGATTCCCATTGATTGTATTCTAAAAAGCTTTAACTTTTTTGTCTATTGTTTGTTTTTGCATTCCATAAAAGGTCGTAAAAACATAATACAATACAAAACACATCTATTTTTTTGGAATGCTGAACAGGGGGGCCACGAGTGCAAAAAGCCGCCGGAAGGGGACCTCGAGCCATAAAAGGTTGGGAACCACTGCCTTAATTATTTACATGGTTATAACAAAAACAGGTACAATTTTGAATATTTGCTACCCATTTCGGGTGACAAACAAAAGATTTGATAATATCGGCAAGCGTCGGTGACTAACAGAAAGATTTCTAAAAGCAACCGAAGGCTCGAAGCGCGACATTCGGCATAACGTTGGGATCAGTAGTAGATACTAGATAATGGAGTTACCAGAGTAACGTTGGTAATTGGAAACACGACCCAAAATTTTATTTATACGCTAAGATGGCGACAATGTGCTGTTACGAAACACAATATTGCCATACGCACAGGTGTCAGCAAATTTTGAGCGCTTTAGACTTCTTAATTTTACGTTATTTTCTAAAAGTGAAAACATGAATTCAGTGATGAGCTGTAGCCAAAACGCCGTCCCAGTTGTTAAATATTTTTTTGCATTTCCACCCCAGTTGTTGAAAGTTTAGTTTCTGTGGTAAACCTAGTCATTAACTGTATGTTTCGCCACGTCATAACTATTGTACAACACAGCAGACACCGAATATTCAAATACAATTTGATTTATGTTAAGAATTATAGTGCGGTGTCGCACCTCAAAAATTGGTCACTGAATTTGTTCAAATTCATCAAAAATCGATCGGATGTACCTTACCGCGCACTTCTAAAGCGAGATATCCCATATAAAATGATACTACACAACATTCGACAGCTGTATTCGGAAAAGTTCATTCAGCTAATCGACGAACAAACGTTTTTAAATGAATGTTCAGTTGCACCCAAATGATTTCTCATAGCATACGATCACATATTCCAAGATTGCATTTAATTGCATTACAATAAATAACATTATATCAGAAAGAAAGATAAATTTTAAAAAATAATTCATTCATCCTCTTCTGATGATGATTCGTCGTCAGTCAGGTCAGGAACAGGAAAACGCAGCATTGCAGCAATACCAGTCAGTTGCGCCAATTCTAACATGGAAAAATATGAAATTATTGGCGCTGAATAACGGCGGCCATCTTGGCAATGAACTTTCAACTCAACTCATCTGCTCAACTTTCATCTGCTTTATATTAATTTATATATACGGTGACAGCATATTTGCACCCATATATTCCCACCCATAAATTTTAGCATCCGCATATAGATTGCACCCACGGACATTTGCATCTACGGACGTTTGCACCCACAGACATTCGCACCCACAGACATTTGCACCTAAAGACTTTTGCACCTACGGACATTTGCACCCGCGGACATTTGCACCCGCGTACATTTGCACCCACGTACATTTGCACCCACGTACATTTGCACCCGCGTACATTTGCACCCACGTACATTTGCACCCACAGACATTTGCAACCATGCATTTCACTTTCATTGGGCGAAAAAATTTAATTCTTAGTGAATGAAGTCTCACAACGTGATTAATAATTAAATGTGCAATGATTAATGAAGCGTTTTGCGGCTTACAAAAGGACCCAACAGAATATACTCACGTTCTCCTGTTATATGCATAGATGAAAACATCCGCACAGTTCCACCATTTTCACGGACTGAATCAACAATTTCAATGAGTCGTCTGCGTTTGGCAACATCGTGAGTTCTAAGTAATGAATCACAAATCAGTAAAGTATCAATTGCTTGAACCTTGCTAGCTTTTTCCACTTCCTTTTCACTGTAAATGGGAGAAACAAAATATCCAGTTACAATAAGCAGTTCATAAATCTAGGATAACTTATTTTGTTAGTAAAGATTTTATAGCATAGCTAGCATTGACTGAAAACTTGCAATAGCAGATACTATTTCACTGTTACTTTTTTATTAGGATGCATACACATGCCAATCTATTCTTTTTATGTAGATAGAATTTCGGCAACTAGCACAGTTTTAACCTATTCATTTGAGCCTCACCCATAATACGCTCGGTCTGGTTCCTGTTGGAGCATCTTATAAAATGATTCCATGGCACGTATTTCAGCTGCTGCTTTTGTATCTGCCAGTCTCGCAATTACAGAAGGGTCACTTAAAACTTCTAAAAACATAAATTGAGAATAAATTGTGGGTGTATAAGTGAGTGGCTACTTCAATATGCCAAGCACACTGGGGCAGCCATGCACCAAATGATTTTTCACACAAGATACAAAAATTCTTTCAGTTCATCCTGATGCTACAAATCAAGACCAGGAGTGAACTTTGCATTTTCATAAATTAAGATATTGTTATTCATGTTGTCACTGGGATAAGAGTCGAAACTCTTGGCAAAAACCAATTTCTATTTTCGAGCAGTTGGAGAATAAGTCTCTCTTGGAAGGTTGTGACTTCATGTCCATATGTTTCCGCACGGCTCGTTCGTAACTTATCAATTATATAATACATTGAAACTTTCATTGAGTTGTTTTTATAAAGCAACAACCAGTAAAGATAAAAACAGCGAATATACCTATGTTAGCAAAAAAATCAGGACACAGAAACTCCATACCTTTTAAAGAATGCTTGAAACCCGACGAAGCATGTATCAACAAAAACTTTGATTTATTTTCAATAAGAACCCTATTGTCAGTCTTCACAGCATAATTGAACATATATTCAAAAAATTGATCTTTTACAAATCCTGGGCTCGCAACAAGAACACATTTAACAACTAAAAAAGAAATGAATTCAGTTAAAACTGTATGTTTTTATTACTATTTATTCTAACATGAATATGGAAATGACCAATTAGGGACCATTAAACATATTATTTAGTACAATTGACTGAACCAGTGTGTGCTAAAACACTGCCCCTTTCTCTGTGACTTTGCATTGACTGCAAAGAATAAAAACTGCCAAAAGTATTCCTCAGACCAGCAGTTTACAACAATGCATTCACGAAAAAAAAAACTGGAATTCATAAAATTTTATTTGCTACAACCCTGTGGAGAAACCATTCAAACAATGTAATCAAAAAATCATTACTTACCATCAAAATTTACATGCCGCAGAATAGCTTGCAATACAGAATCAAAAAACTTTTCAACACCCTGCAAAAATGTAGAAGCTTTTTAATATAATTAAAAGTAAACCAACAACAGGATAACATTTACAAAATAAAATCAGAACAACATTACCTTATCATGCTGTTGCGAGCTGCCTCTTTTCTTACGAGGTATCTGCATTTCTATTTTTGCTCGCACTAAAGTCATACTCGCTAATACAAGGCAAACATGTGCAATACCTTCCTGCATTACGATAGCAGCAACATCAGAATTTTGAGTTGGATCACAAGCAGCATCTAGGGAGGAATTAGAACAAGACTACAAACTAGATACATGATAATTACAAGCGGGTATTCTTGAATATTCACCAATCTTTGGATAACCGAATACTTAGAGATTATATAAACAGCTTTCCTCGTCCATGAATATGATTTAACACCTGTGTTGCCCAAAACAAGAAATATTAGTAATACCATTGATTAATGTACATTATTTAGCTCCGATATGACTGGTATGTAAAGATAATATTACCTATTCTATCTAACACCACACTGTCCCAACATTTTTTTGCAAGTGTAAACTTTCTGTTGACTTCCAAATCAAGAGTATGATATGCACCCATCTAAAAAATATATTAGCTTTAGACGGATAAATACCAGATAATACAACTTAATAAAGTGGACAGAATCAATCATACCAATAAAAAAAATTGAGAAACATGAACATAAATCGGTACTCCTGAAGTATGTGAACCAAGATGGCGGACACCGGAACATAGTATGTGTACCAGGTCAGGGTTAGGCCATAATCTTATTCCAATTTTCCTTATTTTAGTTCTATTACGAGTTCAGGGACCAGCAAAGTGACTCCTGTAGTATTTGTACCCAAAATTATGGCCTAACCTGGTACACACTACATTCCAGTGTCCGCCATCTTGGTTCACATACTTTGGGAGTACCCAAAAATCAATGATTCTTACCCAAAATAACCTTGCTGTGAACATACATTGTTACTTTCGTCCCAAATTTGACATGAACATTTTACCTTGACAAACTGATTTTCCACAATATTTCTTCCTTTCACCCGAAGAACACATGCTTGGAAATCAAAGTCCAATGCTTCCACAGTGATTGTCAATGTTGTCCGTACTCTGCTACTTCCAACACTACCAGTATTCGATTCGACTTGAACCTATTTAAGTGTGATTGTCATAGGAATTGAAAAATCTTTTCATAACACGATCCAAGTATAGAATATGAGAAGATGGAACTTGCAAACCTCGTTGAAATCGCACAAAGGGAATTTCTATATTTAACCATAAAATACCAATTTTTTACAAAACTCTTTTTGTCCCCAAACAGCTTCAATACGAAAATACATGGGATATTTGGTAGCATTACCGGTATATTGATAATTTCATTTGTAAAAAAGGGCTTTCCGGAAGGTCCTTTATAGGTCATTTTTGAAATAAATACTCACAAGTTCATTAAATGTTATTTACAGACACTTAATAACTGCTACACATGTATAGTTTTATTAGTCTGCTCAAATATTAAAAATAATCACTTTTTGTCACCTAAGAAAATTTTTATATCTTTTTCAAGAATTGCAAGTATAGACAATCCAGGTATTAATCGAGGCACTTTTTTCCTGTTTTGTCGAATTATCATTAACAGTGTAGACAATCATATTATTTATAGCTTATACTTAGTGTCTTCAGAAAAAACTTCTAGTGGTTACCTTACGAACTGTGGTTGATCTCAAACTATCTCCAGCTTGGATAATATTATAAGCATGCCACATATCCTCCCCATCTTCTGGAATGAGAGTCACTTGGCTGAAACGTTAAGCAATATGGTTTAATATTTCCTACAATTATACATGAAAAATAATGACGACTGTTTGATTAAGGAACGGATCTGAAGATCTATGAATTGAATGAGCAAATGATAAACGTTTTCACAATTTGTGATTCAAACATGGATTTATGTAATCTATAGATAACGATTTATATTTTAGCACAGGTGTTCTTCATAACAGATAATCGTGGTAAAACTCAGTTTTAATTTAGAATCTCAGAAAATAAATTAAATTTTTCAAATAATGTTATTTACCCTGATGAATCCTTTGTTATATTCCGATGCACAAGCTTCATGTTGGAGTAACGATGTCTTGCTTACAGTCTGTTTTGGAGCTTTTAATAACAACTAGCATATTATTAGACTAATCGTTGTCATAAGTAGTGAACTAGTAAGAAGCAAGTAATTCAGTCACATTTATTATATTATATTTTTCTATTTGCACAAAATCGCAAACAAAATCCCTTGAAAGACAGTTTAGGGCAGGGCTACTCAACTATTTTCACCAAAGATCCAGGAACAAAACTAACATCATTGGGGCCCGTTTTTCAGAAAATATATTTCACAGTGTGCCTAAATATATTTCAGTGCCATCTTCGACGAGCGTTGTAATGATAAATTAACCTCTAAAAATATAAATAAGATTTACTTATCAAAAAAAAACTTTCATATAGCCAAATTTAATGAGAATATGCTCAAAATAAAGAAACAGGTGCGGTCCGAATGGAATACTCAAGAGGTCTGGATTCGGATGGCGATCCGCCAGTTAAGTAGCCCTGGTTTAAGGTACCGTAGATTACGTATGACAACTGTGGTAGTGGGCGAATATCTTGCAAAACTTAACAACGCAAAATTCTGTAACAAATTTAAGCAGCACACAATATACTTTGAAACTACTACTGCGACTGTACAATATTCCAAGTAAACATACATCAGCATAGAATGATAATAGATTGGATGTGCAATAGCATAAAGAAATATAATAAGCTGATTCAGCTTAGCTGAAATATATTTTCATTCGAAAAATTTCATAAGAGAATAAGACCGATTTACACAATGTGATCCGAGAGTTAGACTGATCTAACTTATTACAGACCATAAACAGCACTTTGAATCCTTTTTTATTTTTAAAAATAGATTATGCGCCTTATCTGGTCGGCCAAATGTATGTAGTGACCCAGTTACTGCGTTACTCAAAAACGTAAGATGAATATATTATATTCATCCTGTAACTGCTTCGTCTGAACATGAGCAATACATGATAGGGAGCATATTATAAACAGATTATTTTCAAGTTGTAGATCGCGATCCTGATCAGTGTCGCTTCCCGCAAAATGTTTTCGCAGCCAAATGCAGTTCCAATAAAACTCCTCTTGTGCGGCTATAGCAACTCAACTGTAGTAACTTATTCAAGTAGCAGTACCAGTTGAGTCTTACAACATTTTAAATCAAGATTGGAAAAAATTGTAATTTTAAATAATAAACAAATGCAAAATCAAAATCTCAAGATTTTGGACCTTAAAAATATTCAGCTATTCAAATTTCTTCGGCATTAAAAGTCATCATTACTGTACATCTGAATTTTTCATCATCATATGTTGGAAGGGCATAAACCATTGAAGAGTTGTGTGACTTGACAACATTGCAGATATTCTCCTGACAAAGGATGACAGTGTCATGAACGTAATATATATTTGTATCTTGTATTGAACATGGTTATGGTCATATGACATGGTTTACAATTAAAGCAATGTATAAGAAGGAGAATCCAACAATACTGACTATTGACTGAATAGAGAACAGACTTGTGTGAAATATACAAAGGTACCAAAGGCTCGCCAGTGCAAAACCTAAAAATAAAACGATATTTATTAAAATATAATTTTAGTATGGCATTTCAATATTCATTCAACATTTATATTAGTATATCCATTTCAATATAATATAAAATGACTCCTAATCCTTCGATTTACAACATACAAGTGAATTGGAAAGGAAACCATATCCACCTATTCTTACTCTTCACGAACTACAAATAGCGTGACCCAAAATCAGAACCCCTAAATTTCCTGATTATTTCTACAAAAACAAAAAAAAAAGTTACCACTTGAACTTCTGTTATGTGTATCATAATACCCAAAAGTTTGAGCAATCTAGGATGCTTTGCACAAAAGTTAGGTCTTCTCTAGGAGAATGTTCCAAATGAGCTGGATTAAATTATTTGGCGTTACCCTATATTATTTTGGTAGAAGTAATTGTTCTCATCATATGCCAAAGCTGATGGCAAGCAAAAAATTTAAATTCCAAATGAATAACTTGCCTAGTATTGGAAGCATGAAAGATCCTATGTGGAGTTCTTCTGCAACCATCTGCATTTGTTGTGAAGCACTACTAGCCATGTTAACACCTGCTTCGTTGACAGGAGTAGCAGGTGACAGAAAACAGTGAATCATTGGTATAGTTGGATTTTCCCCAGTGGTATCTCCAACTAAATTAAACTGGCGCAAAGTCCGGCTTTGATCTCTCAAAACTTGTCCTCTATAAATTAATCTATATCGATTACGAGTATCAGAGGTGAATTGTCGGCTGTGAAAATTTAAATAGGTGTTTCAACAAAAACAACAGAATGCACAATGGCCCAGTAGTTATTGAAACATTGGTCCTAACTGTATTGGCACTGCTTCAGTACATATCTTGGACACCCACCCAGGGTGTGAATAATTGGGTAGGCAATGGCCACCATGAAGATTCCGGTTTTTCCAATAATTTAGCTCCTTATATCAGTGGCTGCTTGTACAGAGCCTTGTTCAGAGCAAAAAGCGTAAAATAAGTGACGAATAAAAAAAAGAATCACAGAATGCAATATATACTGCCTCAGAGGTTTTGATAACAATCAATAAAATGATAACTCTGCTGCTATAGCCAGATTTTCAATTTCTCCACAATTTTCAACAATGCTATATCTTATTCGAACTCTAAAAATTGCCCAATAATGACAAAATGAGGTATTACACCCAATAATATATTATAAAAAGTAATAACCTCATAAAATTTTCCAATGTCTCATCAGGATTAGCTTTCACAGTTTGTATAGTTTCATCCATAAATTTCAAACGTATTGTGATGCTTGCACCGCCTTCAGCGGTTGAGGAAGTCGGTGCTTAATAAAAAGTTAAACAAATTAATTTAACTGATTAGATCACAGTTACTGATTTTGGAACATAGAAGACAATAAATAACACATTTTGTAAAAATTCAATATGGTTTTTGGAATTGTTGAAATTTATAATTTTTGAAAAGACTTACATTCCTGTGTCGGAGGTGTTTGTGCAGATGCTTGTGCATCATGAAGAATTCGATGTCTTAATACTGGAGCATCATTTGGTGATGAGTTGCTCACAACTGACTCATCTTGTGTGGACCCAGAAGCATCTGAATTTGAAGAAGATTCTTCTGTAAAAAGATGAATAGTATAGAAGACAATACTGATAATGATATGTTGATTTTGTCATTAATATACTGGTTTATGCAAGTACACTAACTGCTGAACTGGCTCATTGTTGAATAGGTTTTTAACTGAAAACATTTTTACCTGTCTGGACAGCTTCTGTTGGAACATTTGGTTGGGCTGATGCACTGTGTGTCTGATTCTCTACAGTTGCAGATGTCTGCTGACTATTTTGAAAACTGATAAACAGAATATAACATAGCATTGATGGAGATCTGATATTTTTGGTGAGGCTGTCCGGGGTGCGGAATGTGGGTTTATCATATTTTTATTGGTGCCAAAGTTCAGGAGTTGTAATTCTCATTTTAAAACGCATCAAAGTCAGAATTTCAGGCTTCCAATGACAGAACGATAAATAAAAATTGCCAACAGAACTCAAAATCATTGAGTTGACTAAGCATTCTTAGAATGCAATTAGGAGGCTTGGCTTTACATCAGTTACATAGAAAAATTATGTTGTCTTGGCGATGGAGTCAAAGTTTTTGTCAACCAGTAGGCGGGATCATTTTTATAATACACGGCGTCAGGTCCAAATTTTAGCCAAAAAGCCCCGCCTTTTCAGCCAGAATTTAGGTATGAGCTTATAATTAGCAGAACACAGGAACAGAAACTAACCGAAGTAAACCACCACAATCCAGTCTTTGCCATACCGATAAAGCATAATAAAATGAAAGTGAGTAAGATCACAAAATATTTGTACCAAATCGACAGGATAACCGCAAAATGACCATTCGGTCTAGGCTACTTGTCATCGGCAACCTTAAAATAGCTTAAAACTTATGGTTACAAAATTTGCACTACGCGAAACGTTCATATATCAGTATTATAGTCTAATTACAGAATTATCAAGTTTCATTCGACCAATTTGAAACTCAAAATATTAGAACACAGCAGTTCAACCTACAGATTTAAAAAAAATATTAATCTTAGTCACTCACCTTTCAGTGGTTCCACTGGAATCGCTCACTCTCGTGGACAACCACGATACTATGACGACAAAAACTGCTACGAGAACGCCTAACAATACTGTTACCTCGTCGCCAATTCCGTCAATCAGGTAAGACGACGACATGTCAAGAAGAAAATATGCAACTAAAGCAAAATTCACTATAGTCTACTCATAAACCCCTACCGTATTTCTGCATTTGGCAACGGTACGAGATACGGTATATGTAGTTGTCACTAATTAGTAGTTACAACTCGACTTTTCTCAGCTGATTAACACGTGACTACGTTGTTGTTACTTCACTCTGTGGTTAGATTATCTGCTTTTGCGTTTCCTGAATACAGGAATTTTTTTGCTTGGCTAATCCAAAGAAAATCAAGTTATTATATGTCTAACGTTAAATTTGTCTCTCACAAAGGCAACATCAAGACAGTGTGGGAAACAATTAATGAACCAATTGGTAAAAATAAGACCAATTAGGGACATTCATAACCTTTGACCTGTTGCGACTTGATGCAAAAAGAAGTGACGGCTGCGATTTCTTGCTCTGAAAGCCGACGCGGCTAGGTCTGACTTCAATCAATCATTTATTTTGGTTCTTTGACATAAACAATACAAAAAGTAAACAGACAAACAAAATGCAGAGATACCTGAGAGACGGGCATAACTTAAAAAAAGTTAAATAGCGTATAATGTACGAGCCCGCCCACCAAAAAAGAATAAAACAAACACAGAAAAACGCGATTTACAATCGGGCAGTACTTTGGAAACAATTTAACAAAAACAGCCAATTAAAGTAAATAATGGAATGCAATAAACTTCTACCTTCTAAATTAAAATGTGAGACGTGTATGTGTAACGTAGTAGTATATATTTATGGTGTAACAGTATATATTTACGGTGTAACACAACAGTGCTTTTCCTACAAGAACATGGAACAAAAAAACACTCCCTGACGCAAAACGGTGATGCTGTAGGCCTAGTTCAATTTCACTGCAAAAACAACACAGTGACAAAAATTGTTATCTAAAATAAAACAAGAGAGCTATGCTCAAATATATGGACACGTAGAGTCACATAATTTTGATGACGTCATAGCGAAAAAAAAGTAATAGCCTTCTGGAAAAATTTTTTATCTTTAACCACTGAAAATTTCAAAGCAATTGGTCCAGTATTCGAAGAGAAAGCCATTTCTTCAAAACGTGTTGATGGAGACAAATGATAACAATAACAACAAAATTTTGAAACGATCGTTATGTCCACTACGCGTCCAAAAACAAGTTTGGTGAATAGATTGAATGTTCCATAGCAGTCTATGCACAAGTCATGGATTGAGGTATCGGGTTCTTTTGTCGTTTTCGATTAGTTCAATTTAAAATCATTGTATCCGTTCCAATGCTTCCAACATCAATATCGAATTTCCATATACGACCACCATTCCATCAGGTGCAGTGGTCCTATCTGGCAATGTTTTTTATGAATACTGAAATGTCACGGTGTTTCGTAGCGGGAACTAAAAGATACTATTTGAAAAAACGAAATGTATTCTGAGGCGTTATGTCATTTGAGTAAAATAACGTGTTGAAATGGGGGATATGGTTGCTTATGAATACAGGTGCCAGTGGTACGGGTAGCAGCTCAAAAAGTACCGGTATGCCAAAGTGAAAGAAAGTTATCTTATTTACTTCTGCAAATGTTACAAGGTAAGATTGGTTATAGCTTCGATCATTAATAATGGCAGACTTATGTTGTAAAGCATATCACATTTTTTCAGATGTTCACGATTTGAATACCGATAGTTACAGCAAAACCCCTCCATGCTCGAGCTCATACAACAGTCATCATAGACAGTTGCTGTATATTTGTACATGGATCATTTGATTGAAATACAAACCACATTTCTTAAGAAGACTTTGTCTGAATGCTGGGAGCCTGTCATTCCTATCTATAAGAAGTTACGGACAGAAGTTTTATTTGATTGAAATGGCAAGCACATCACCATAAGCGGAAGATCTGATTTCTGGGAATCTCTTAGTCCCAATTACGAAATGTCACAATCGGCAATTTGTGGTCAAATATAGACTTTTGCTATCCTAGATCTAAGTATACCCAAGCAAAGGTAGAGGACATTGCTTCGCCCACATATAGATCACGCCGATGCCCAGCGATTCTTCTTTTAAGGTGCAAATAACAAAATCGCTGTATTATCTTATCCTAATTTATTATAACAATTCAGCATTTTACACCATTCTTCCATCCCCAGCTAAAAATACTCAATGGAACTTATTAAACTTGTGTGTGAGATATAATTTTTTAAAATATGCATAAATACTAGAACACAACAGTGGTAGTTTTTCCTCTGTTACTAATTACATTTTTGCTGTCTTCAAGATTCCAGGCAAGAGTATATATAGTAGGCCCGTCAAATACGGACACCACTATAGCAAAATCTTAATTTCTCGTAATCTTTACCATATAGGAGCGTGACTCCCGTATTAAAATAACCAATTTGAACGTGCCCAACAGCCCACTGTCAATTTCGGCAATCCGCTTTATATTTTGTTAGATATGAGCATTTTTTCCCAAAAAATTTATTCGGGTAAAACGGACACATGGATGGGTAAAACGAACATTAAACAAAATTAATTGAACACACTACTGAACTATTTGAATGCGTATAAAACGCCTAAAAAATCATAAATAATAAGCCTCGAGCATTACAGTGGGGGCGAGCAATGATGTTCATATTACCCCATCAGACATGAAAACTTATTAATCATCCAGGCATGTACTTGCAACTGAACAAAAGCTTTAGTTGATCAACTGAATGTCCTTTACCATAAATAACATAACGAAACTACCCTAATGAAACAGGCAAGTTATTTATATGTAAATTATTACTGGCTTTCCTCACATGTGAAACCTTGAACGTTTCTTCCATAAACACCAGCACAAATGTCATGAAACCATCTGAGGCATTGCTGACATTGTATACTCCTCATCATCGTAAAAATTGCCTTCACAAAACCCACAAACATCACTATTTCTAACAAACAGCCTTGGCAGATTCTTTCCTGTTTATAATTCTTCCTACTTTGACCTTGCTCACATGAGGTTTATTCAAACTGCTGGCCTCTATTTTCTTGGAACCTGCTTTTGCTTTTTTCTTAGTTATAATATCAGAGTCCTCTTTATTCTCTAGGACTGCTAGTTCTTTCTTATATCCTTCACTGGTGAGTATTCTCATACAAGTTATGATCGCTTTCTCACGATCACGAGGTGGTTTTAGTCGAGGTGAGGCCGGAAAGGGCAGAATCTCTTCAAATGAAGTGTCACTCGAATCCAATAAACTATCCTCTGCAGATGCTGGTGAACTACTCTGTTGTTCTGTAGAGATTTGCTGCCTAAACTTGGGACCTGATGTTTGCTGAATAGTTTTACTAGAACAAGGTGAATCATTGTCAGCTTGCTGCAAACCACATGCAACAAAATTATTACTTGTCGACGAGATAGTAATGGGGAGCGGTGGTTGGGAAGTGATGTTGCTAGGCTCTAATAAATCGAGGTTTACTAAAGTTTGACAGGAGCTGCGGTTTTCGTATATTTATCAAGTTTCCATATCGTTCCCGAAACCAGTCTTTTCCTGCCATTTTAGCAGATTCTGAAAATTTATTAGAAATTTTGTTCACCATTGCAAATTCATAAGCCAACTTTCGAATGTCTTTAACCGTTAATGGGAAGCGTCTCTTTTCAAATTCGAGTATATGTTGCAAATGATCCTTTTTGTTCTGGCCCAAAGTAGGAGAACAACCAAGACTCCGTGATCCTGAAGCCTTCTTCAGCGTTCGATAAACATGACAGCGAAGTGTAGCCCTTGGAACCGAATATGTACTGGCTTCAGTCAGGAGTTTTCCTCCGCTTCGTACCATTTCAATTGCTTTTTTCATGTTTTTTCCATCCATTAACATCTTTTACTACTTCTCTTCCATTTACTAGACATATTTCTCGAACAACAATTCAAAATCTGAGACAGTGTCCCATTTTGGGGTGAAATGGACACTAAAAATAAGAAAGCATATTGTTTTGTACTGTTAGACTGAAATGAAACAACTTATATCCCAAATAAACACCACTCAGATAGTGTATAAATCTGACCATTTTTTTATTTTAATTGCATAACCACAGAGCCTACGATAAAAAATCACCCCTAATTGTCATGACGTCATGAGGTTTATTTCGAGCTCCCACAAGCAATCATCTGCGCAGTCGAACTATGCAAACGACCTTAAAACCTCATGAGGTAAAGTAAAAAAGCAAACAAATTGTTTATTACCTTATACTTGGTGTTTTGGTCCCACAATTGACGTTGGAACTCAATATGATAGTAAATACCCACTTTTTCGCCCCTCCAAAATCGACCCCTTCAGAACCCAAATCGCAAGCATGTTGACGAGATTTGCGGCAATGGCGACGTATTCGCTTCAGCGAAACTATGCTTAGTTACGTAACAAACGAGCAGTGAAACCGCGACCGTAGCTCTTTTGGTGTCGCTGTAGGATCAAATCGAAAAAAGGTGTTCGCATTACCCCGCCTGTCCGTTCTCCCCCGACCTACTATAATTGAAAAGTTTCTGGCTAATAGTTCAGTATTTCCTAGAGACTTTACTGGATTAGTTACGGTTCTCTCATTTTTAACATTTGTAAGAGCTTCTTTGGCATCACAAACTCCTTGCTCAAACAATTTCAGTAGAAACTAAGGATGCATAGTATGACTACTTCCAAGTATTCGATTTCTAAATTATCGATTCCGATTCTCGTTCCTCGACATATCTTACCGAGAAAACATGCCCACTTAAACAATATATGAAATGAAACATGAGATTTATGTCCAAATATATGGAGGCCAAGAAGGCCGAAACTGAGTAGTATGGGTATTCAATCTGTCACAAAAGACAAAATCGCACAAAAAAAAAACGAATCCCTCAGAACCCACAGAGATTTTAAAAATAAATAAACGTAAATGCCTTCTAGCGAAAATTATATATATATATATATATATATCAGTCTATATATATATTGTTGTTTTCAATGTATTTGGACAAAAATTGCTTTTCTCTTCAACTATTTGTCTTATTCTATTAAATTATGTTTTAGAAAGCGATCACTTACATCCTCTATAATTTCTCTACAATTTTGATGATATCAAACAATTCCACCACTCAGTGAATTTTCCGATGATAGATTTTATAAGTCGAACGGTTTAGGTTCGCTGTAACTGTGCAGAAGTTTCCATATATTTGTACATTTGTTTATTATTTTGACTAAGGTGTATTCTCTCAAAGATATCTGGGCTTGAGTCTTATCATTTGATGGGAAACAGGCCAAAATTTTGATTTCGGACAATATATTTATATAAATATGGGTAATAAATCTGAATGCTGGAGTTAAATCACGATCCCTGAAAACCGAGGATGTAAGTGTCTGTACAGGTCTAATAACTCCACGTTTCCTAATGAATAATAGAGTTCATGAAAACATTCTGTGTAAAAATTTGACAAAGAAAAAAGGGCTAACAAATACCACTGTTTTGAGAAAATCAGGTATGACCCGAATTGGGTATAATACAACTAGTGGCGAACACTTCGTTAAAGCTTACCACTTGCTACTCCAATCCGAGTGTCAATTCCTGGCACGTGGCAATGATTGAAGAACGTTGTGATAGGGTAAATGATAAATGTGATTACTTTCTGCCAACATTTTATGTAATGTTTACTCACTAAAAACGATATAGTTTAAATATTTGACTACATGATTTTTGTAATTCGTAAGTAAATAAAAAAAGTGTACGGTTGAGTGTACTGAGTGCGGTTACATGCCTACCATGAATGTAATTAGAAAGATTCAGTGAATTTATGAACTATCGTGAACCTACAACAGCTAACCAACGACCCACCAATACGTTGATTGATCCTATTTATCTACGATATCCCATGATTTTCTGAATTCTTTTTCTACTTCTGTGAAGTATTTACCATGACCACGCGTCTAGCAAAAATCAAATGAACCCGTAAACTTCAAATTTTCATAATGGATCGTTTGTCCAAATCGATGATAATGTGATCATTTTTGAAATCTATGAAATATGTTCGTGATGACAATTTTCTATTATCATATCACTATAAAGAATACTCAGGGCTTTATTTTGCACAAAAAAGAACAATTCAAAAAACGGAAGTTGTAGTATAAATTTCATTTTGGCTTTTTTGAGTAGTACACGAGACAACAAGCAAAACATGTTTCTGTTGTTTAGCTTCTGTTCGATGAAGCTTGTGGATATTTTTTATCGGTAATAGCTATGAAACGAGGAAAAAAAGTTACACTCAACTCTGTCCAATAATGCTATTGGGCTAACGATATCATTCATAAATTTTTCGAGTTGAATAAATATTCCAATAGGAATTCACAGTTACTATGTCTTCTATTTGAACTTTGCAGAGTTAGACTAAACTTTCTACATTTTTATAAAACACTTAACTATATTCATTACAATTGTTGTCGTATATTATATTCAAAAATGACGTCAATTTTTAAAACATTGTAAACTTCAATAACTGTTTACAAGACTTTCAAACTTCTATCATCACATAAAATTATCAATAGCTTGCTACAATACCTTCTAATGTTTTTGAGTAAAATGTTTCGATTGTTTCAAAAGTTGAGAAAAGTAAATGAATGTCTCCAAAAAGAAATATTCTGAACGTGAGCTATACAAACTAAAACAGCAAGAAATCACAAATGTTTTATATATACATGTTTGCTCTGCCTTACAGTAAGGTACCACTCATCTTGTCTTTCAGATAGTTGGAGAGAGCCTGTAATCCAGCAATGTATTCCTCTCCATTTGGTATGATTTGATCAGGCGGAAGGAGGAAACCATATTTCGAACCATCGTCACGAAGTTCATATGTATATGATTGAACTATTCCGGCAACTTCGTAGGTCCAATCAGTTGTAGTTCCGGAGCTTGGATCTAAAATATTAATTATACGTGACATAAAAATATTTAACATCGCATGTTGCTTTGTTTTAGAACTGTAATGCTAAGATCATCACTTACAAATTGTTGTAGATCCTGGGCCATATACGTAAGTCTTCCCATGAACCGATTTTATGGCATCGTGCATTAGTTTTCCTGTTGCTTTCTAAATATAAATTTTAATTCTGTAAAAATAATAGATGTGTGCTGTTTCCGCTATTTCTAGTCAATGTCGGAATCCAAATAACAAACTCACCTATCCAATCACAATAAGCACATATACGACTTACCAAAATTTCATCGTCTTTAGAAGGTTCCGCAGTATGATGGTATGGATATAGAATTAACTGAGAGTATGAATGGGTAGTGATGTAAGCATCGATACTCCCTTTGCCTAAGTTAGTGACGTAATTTGCAAGATGACGTACTTCTGATTCCGATATAGCGGTCGGCCCGTGATATACCACAGAACAAGGATGTTTGGATGCTCCTGGCACTGCGTGAAAAAAAAGTAATCAAACTAATTGAAAATATTTCAATTTAAAAGAAAAGGGAATCGAGATACTTTTTTGTATATGTACTGAGTTTTATTATGACAAATTATCGAGTGAAATTCCAGAATAAAATGTTACTTACATGACCAGAACGCATCCCAATTTCGATTTCCATCTACACCTTCACACAAACTGCTTGCTCCTTGACTTCTAGTTTTTCTCCATAGTCTGTCCTGTATAAATAGAGTTTTGCTAAAGCAGCACATACAGTATAGCCTACTACAGAATTTCATTTGGCAAGTGGCCAGAAGGAAGTTGACTAGGTAATCGTTGTAGTTATATTCTTGTTTCGAGACACTATTTATTCTGAAATGTTGAAAGTTGGCTATAAAAGGATTGGAACTTTTATATTTTTACCATGACACTAATCGCAGCATACAACTTATGGTGTAAAACATTCACTATTCGCGAGACAATGTATATACTCACATGATATGCGACTCACAAAAATGCTAATCTTATCATAATAATAATACTGAGATTTATATGTATTTGGTAAGGTTTTCTTTAGCAGCTAATGAACAATCATACTGTGATCATAGTTACGTCCAAATGAAGTATGAATATACGACACATTGGAAATTGAATTTACTAAATAGAAATTTATTCTCGTGCTCTTTTGACCACAAACACCAGTTGCTTTATTGCTCTCGTACCAGTATTTTACTACTAAAACTTAGTATATTATTGAATTACATGGGAAAATATACTGAGTTTTGTGTCCATTACGCATGTTTAAAAAAATGCATAATCTAAAATCTATTTTTGAATTGCAATAAAAAAAAATACTAACTTCTGTCCATGTTTTGACATATCCATCAACATTGATCATCGGCAAAAAATACCAGTCTGCGTCATCAAGCATGTGTGCATATTCGGGATTTCGCAGCATCTAAATATATGTGAGATAAATGATGCCAGAAAAATTTACAAACTAATTGAATTTGTTCTTTAATAAGCTGTTTGCTATAGTAACCTAACCCTGTTCTCGTATAGGGTTCCTTTCATGCGTTAACAGTATTGTTTGAGAACATGCACATTGATCATTTGTAAAACGGTCTGCCCATGGAAGAATTTCAATAGATTTACATTAGGCGTTAGTAAAAATACAACCGGTAAAATTGCTAAAACTCAATAGTGTGTATTGGAAAATGCAATACAATAAATAGTACATATGACTCAAATCGTTTAGTCATATTCTGCTCCATTAAATAACAAATTATCCGTTGATTCATTGATTGATCGGAGATGATTTTCCTAAATCATCACCTCAAAAACATACCTCTTTGAATATGAACAAGAGAGATGCAGTCGTAATCCATTCTCTGCAATGAATCAAAGCATCAACAAAAATAACTGGTTTTGGATTAATAGCTGGTTTTTGAAACTTCAACACATACAGTGGCCTTCCTTCATAAGTAATGCCAAATTGTTCTTTCGTGACTGTTGGGCTGTGCTCTTTTATTACCAAATTCATCCATTCGTATACCTAGTTTAATACACAAGTTAAAACCCTAAATAAAGAGAAGTTCTTACAATGATTGCACGCTCATGATTTACCAAGAATTTCATCGGATATATGCTGTTATCCATTTACCTCAGACAAAACAGAAAAATGAATATATATATATATATATATCATCAGAACTCACCTCTTCGGCAGGATGATACTCAGAGTAAACAAAATTCGCCACACTACCCGCTGAAGCCCTGACTTCGCGTTTAGTGCTCACTTTTTCCCCAACTATAAGTGACTGGATGTCTGGTACAAGGACAGTAATTTCGAAGCCGTCAAGTTCAAGTGCCTTTTTCAGGTTTTGGGCTTGTTTCGGTTCGACTCGAAAATCGACTGAAAGATTGACAGCTTTAGGATGTTGCCAAATGTCAAGCTGAAAATTGTTCACATATGAAATTTTTGCAATTGTTATCAAATATTTTAAATTTATTCTGAAAATTATGAGAAATGCATGCCTAACTATGAATATACCTTGAACAATTCCCCAATTTGTCTTATCTTAGTGAGAGCTTCAGATGATGAAGGCGTCACTCTCCAAAGTTCATGTCTGAAATATAGAATTGGCAAATGTATGCTGTTGACTAATTGGTTGTAACAATAGCCAAAAATTGGAATCAAATTTGCTCGGGTGGTCAATAACATCAGTATTCTTTCTATACACGATGACATCAGGACTGGCTTGAAATATAATATTGTTTATTATATGTTCAATAAAAATACCCCATTTATAACAAGTAAGTATGCATGGATTTTTGAACGTACAGATCATTAATTTAGTAAAAAAAATTCTCAATTGTTGAGCACTTTTACTCTTATAAAAAAGATAATTCAAAGCAGTTAAAATTCTGGATTGCGAGGCAATATTACGTTGGCAGATGCGTAATCAATATATTGGTTTCAGAATTCCATCACCACATGCCACATACCTACCCTGTGTATTGTACTTTTGCTGATGCCGAAAAGCTGATAAACATTCCAACAAATAACAATAAAATTCCTAACCCTCCCATTGTGGGTATCACTGATAAATACAAATAAAATATTAAAACAACGGGGAAAATCTTCCATATTTTTTTGAATTGTATATATCGGTTTTGAGTTCATTAGTAAATTTTGTTAGTAATTTTTAGCTTGCAATTATGAAAATGCAAAATCTAATACCTGAAACTAATTCAAAAAATTGGTACAATAAATGTATATTTGCATATAAATATTTTTGCTTCATTTTACATATATATATATACTGTATTTCACAATGTTCCCTTAATTAAAATATATTCCACAATGCAACGCCTATCCTAGTCATAGTCGAATCTTTTCAACGGATTCCACGCAATAAAGAACATCTCTAATCAGCTTGCAATTCATATTTGTGTAAGCTCATATTATCCCTTTAGAAAAAATGCGACTCTCAGCTATTCATAAACTTCTTTCACAAACAGATAAATGAATCCACTGTGTTTGTTCTTGCTTACCGCGACGTGGGTAATAAAAAGCGCTAGTTGTCGGGTAAACATATGACCTGGGTTTACTGCCTCGCATAACGCGGCAAAAGCCTAATGATCCCTGGGTATAGGGACATAACTCACTTTATTGTAAAGCAATAAAAAAAGAATGAAAATTGACATTACATGCGATGTCATAAATTACAGCACACGCATACACCTAATTCCACCGCTGCTGCCAAAAAGCTCGGCTCTGTGTACGCATTCATAAATCACCGCAATTTTTATTTTTCATGTTTCTTTCAATTTGTAAATTTCAATATGTAATTGTACCTGGAGTGATTATTTTCATTATTTATTTAAGTTTTCTTCAAATCATAGAATTCAGATCTAAGGTCAACCTGGTTTAGTAGTAAGCAGGGGCGCTGGCAGGATTTTTAAAAGGAAGTTGGTTTCGAATCATAACTTCCGCTGCTACGGCTTCTGAATGAGTCACTTCAATTACGCGCTACTTAATGCTTATCTCAAACTTGCACTGTTCATCCCACATTAAGGTACCTGTCTTCCTTTTCAGACATAAAAAAGAGCCACATTTTCAGCGTATAAATATTTTTCTGTAAAGTAAAATATTCAATCCATGACAACTACGAGAATTTAATATGTCTTTCTACATTGATTTAATGATTTAATTGTGTTCAACGTAATTCACGATTGCGACGAGGTACGACAAAATAAAAGCAATGATACTTCAACTACAATCACGACAATCTCCACGACAATCTCGCATAAAAATGCGAGAAAGACTGCCAGATGATATTTAGTTTCGATGCGTATCTTTGCGATCTTGCGAATCCGTCATCGCAATTAGAAAAATATCAAGATCTGCTAAAATATTCCAGAGAATACGATTTAATTTAGTACAATAAAAATATATATAAAGTGTTTTTGTGACATGCAAATTTAACAATTAATTTTGCAGTATATTTACAAATTAACTGCGCTTTCAGAAAAAATGAATGACGTCAGAATGATTTTTTTATGCAATTTTATTTGCTGGGGATTCCCTTCAAAAGTACTCTAAGAGAGCTTCCAGTCCAGCGAGATATTCTTCTCCAGTAGGAATGATCTGGTCAGCGGGAAGCAGAAACGCATAAAAACCTTTATCTCGAAGTTCAAATGTGTAAGATTGAACAATTTCTGCAACATCGTAAGTCCAATCTGTGGTTGTACCGGAAAATGGGTCTGTGATTCAAAAAAGATAAAGTTGAGCTATTATAGTGGAAAGAAACTAGGTATAAAAATGTAATCATATGTCAGATCTATTATTACGTATATATACTGGAAGGTGCACAATATGAGCTAATGATTAAGTGACAGTGTCTCGCCCTGAAATGCTGAAATAACGACTTGATAGTGACTACCACTATAAATCTAGTCTTGAATCTTATATATAAATGTAACACCATTTCGATTAACATTCTAAGTGTTTCGCTGTTTAATATTTATATTTAAATTTTTTTTTTAAAGTTTTCCACTTACACAATGTTGTTGATCCTGGTCCCCATTCGTAATATTTTCCATGAACTGATTTCATTGCGTCATGAATCTTTTTACCTGTAGTATTCTGAAATATAAATACGATTTGAATTTTATTATATAGTTTCTATTAAGCAAGAAGTTTTACCCTCGTAGTAGATATATATCAGCTTTTTGTGAGTTTTATATGAAAATTATGACGGAAGTTTCAACTTTTTAAAACTCGCTCTCATCACAAGGATCCCAATTAAAAAAAATATTCGGCCATTTACAGAATTAGTACAAGTTTATCTAATATAAACCTGTAAAATGATGTTGGTATTAGATCTAACACCTGATAAATAAAATGCCTAAACTCGCAAATTCACATCATCTCGTCGAATACGTTTATAAATCTAAACCACTCTTTATTATAGCAAAATGGCATACCAGAAGTTCGTCATCTTTGCTGAGAATGTCGGCATAATTGTATGGATAAAGAATAAGCTGTGAGAATGAGTGAGTAGATATGTAGGCATCAATTCTCCCTTTTCCTAAACTCAAAACGTAATTTGCAAGATGACGTATCTCGGGCTCTGAATTGGCCGTCGTTCCATGAAAATCAAACTGACAAGGGTTCGGAGACGAAGTAACTGAGAGGAAGTAAAATATTCAAATATATTTGAAATGAAAGTAATAGGAACGCAATACTGAAAGAAATAAACGAGTCATTGATAAACATAGCTGAATGAACAAATAAATGGCTTTAGTATATTGTGAATCTTGCATTAACGATCACTCGGCTTTGGTTATAATAATCATGACCGGCCACGTATATCAGGGTGGATCACAGCATTCCCAATGGCTTCCTGGATTATTCAACTGCCAGAATGGAGTCTTCTCGGGCATTTCTTGAAATGATGATATTCAGAAAGTTGTAGTCATACTCAGCAATAAAAAGTTAAATTTACATGATGTAGTAAAATAAAATAAGTTGAGAAAAAAATGAATTTTGTTCTTCTAACACTTTACTCGACCAATAGCTATCCCAATTTCGATTAGCGTCAACGCCATCACATTGGCTGCTCGCACCTGTCGTTTCGTGTTTTCCTCCACAATCTATCCTGTAACAACAAATTTAAATTTATTAAAATTTAAAAATAAAAGGAAAAGGTGATGTAAGTGGTGACGTAAACAAGCTTTGCATAGCTATGTTCCAAATCGAAATTACCCCAGTCCAGGTGTATGCATATCCATCTATGTTCACCATGGGCACAAAATACCAATCAGCATCATCAATCATGTGAGTATATTTTGGATTCCTGAGCATCTGGAAAATAATTTGCACTTAGATATCCATATCAAGCAACAACAACCAGCATTAACGCGAGAAAACGGAGTTTAATAAGATATTCTGAATATCAGCCAGTCTGGCATTTTGTGTTTGATTCTTTTGTCACAGTCGATTGAGCACGATTTGGAATTACAATTGATCATAGTTATCAACTTCCAATTTTCGTAAGCATTCCATGTAATACGGACTAGGGCTATTATTATGTATATATAACAATAGAGCAATGCTCAAATGTATGGGACACGTTAACTAGAGCGAAGCAGTCCTTACCTTTGACGATACGGGTACTCTCAAAAAAATTTTGCTTAGAGTTTTGCTTAGCAGGAACTTATAGAATCAAACCGGACAACCAGTGTTTCCATGCATAAAATATACAGCGAAATTTTGAACGAAATTTAGAAACAAATAAAAGTAATAAATAGCCTTCTGGCAAAAAATCAATCTTTAACCACTGTGAACTTCAAGGCAATTGGTCCAGTATTTCAAGATAAAAGCGATTACTTCTCATTGGCAATGGTGTAGTCGTTTAACTACACGCATTTGCCTACATTCCTGTAGTTAAAATAAATTATGGAACAAACAATAGTAAACAACATTAATGTAACATTACCTCTTTAATTATGAACAGGAGAGACGCAGCTGTAATCCATTCTCTGCAATGAATCAATGCATCGACAAAAATAACTGGCTTTGGATTGGCCATGCTGGATCGTTTTTGAAACTTCAGTACATACAATGGTCTACCTTCATACGATACTCCATATTGCTCTTTTGTTAGGGTTTAAGTAGATATAATTCCACATGATCAAATAAAATCTGGTACATTAATTTGTGAATATACCGTTAATACTGATTACTGAATACTGAATAGCGCTATAAAACCATGGCAAGAGCTGCCGCGGTTCGTTCGTGGCAGGAGCTGCCATGAAGTGGTAAGAACTGCGCCTCTCAATATCACCCTATATTGGAACAAATCGTTAGAGTGTGAGTATAATTTGAGATATCAGCTTTTATAATTTGAATATTCAGTCCTTTCGATTCGATAACTTTTTTTTAAATATTGACCTCGATCCGGGGCAACTCGAAATTCAACAGGCTGATGTATACTAACTGGATCCGACCAGTCAAACTGAATACATTTAAAATAAAACTAGTTTAAAACATTATGTTACTTGTCTAACTATTTACAAATTATGTTATAATACAGTAGTTTAATATTATCAATTTTCAAAAGTTAATTGTATATATATTTATATATATAGTTAGGGTTATCATATTTTTGTGACCTCAAAGCGGGACGCGCCCAAAGACCATAGTTGTGAATTTTTCAACTTCAAATTTACCGATTTTACATTAGGGGCCTACTTTTAAAACCACCTCGATTGTCTTCTGTGACCATAATATTGTCATTGAGATTTCATGCTCCATGTTTCTAAATATTGGTTTCAATTCGAAAAATAAAGGAATTTACGTCAACGTTAAACACCCTTTTGGCGTACGGGGCTCACACGTAACAAATCGTAGCAATTATACACTAACATTACAACGAAATAAACAAAATCACGCATCCATCATTAGTAAGTAGGCTACTGGTATGCTACAGAATTTTGAAATATGTTTCAGAACACATCGTTGATATCTTGACATATATATTCAATCTCTCACTATCTAGTGGTATAGTGAAAGCTCCAAGACAGCCGAAATTCTTCCTCTTTTTACAAAGGGTAACGTTTCAGATCTTGTGAACTATAGGCATATTAGTTTTCTTCCGTTATTTTCCGATTTCTCGGTTTCCGCAGGAAACACTCCACTGCTATGGCTGCTAATATTTTTGTACATAAACAAACAAAGACGTTTGAAGGCAATGCTATTGTAATATTTAAAAAAGCTTTTGGCACCATTTCGTGACAGCCTGTGTTGTTAATAGCAGTGTGAACTTGAGAACAGATAGTATTCTAAAAGTTAAATTGATAGAATTGACATACACGAGTTCAGGATGAGTTGGTATTAAACCCGACCCGAGCCCGACTAATTAACTGGATTTGCAGACACTTTTCTCACTCAATCAAGACAGATGATCTTCGGGCGTGGTCGTAAACATTACCTCGTTTTCGCGTTTTTGAACTCTATTCGTTAGTTTTCAGTTGTGTTTCAAAAATTTAAATATAAATCAGTTAATTCAAATATCACGTTGTCTTCCTAGCAGTTTTAATTTAATTGCAATAATGAAAAATTAATGTAGAAATAGCTGTGATATACTAGGCTGAAAAATTTTACCGGTACTTTTAAAAAACAGATTGTTGTATGCGATGAATTATAATGATGGTTTGAAACAAATACCCCATTTTACTCGAAACCGCTCTTAAGATAAAATAAGCCCCGAAAATTCTGCAATGGTTAAGTATAGGAAGAATATTTTCGGGGGTCAAAGTCGGGGAAAGGTCTATTACAGCTTCTTCTCTATATTTTTTTCAAATTATTTCTTTTATAACAAGTATTCCTTAGTTTAGTATCCATACATAGTTTTAGTATATATTTTTTATAAGCATATATTTATTTTAAAAAAGTCAGCGATAGAGAAGCCCGACCCAAACATAATGATTGACATTTCAGGCCCGACCTGACCCGAACGTAATGATTGACATTTCAGGCCCGACCCGAAATTTCGGGTCGGGTCGGGCATCAGATCTTAGCTCTACTTTCTGTTACGTATAGTGTCTGCCTCTATTGTTGCGTAACAATAGAGTAAACACTATACTTGCTGCAATTTTGCGATCTGCAGTTTATTTATCTGCTCGATGAGTATACATTTATCTGTTAAAGTTAAACCGAGTTTGGCCAACATGAGTGATATTTTTAGCATTTCAAAGGAAAATAAGGCTAAGATGAGGAAGAAGAGTTGACCTTTTGCCTTCATTCCTTAAGTCTACATGTTTACTTTAAACGGCATAAAGTACACATTGTCATTGTCTGTGTTCTTTATTTTTGTTAATTCGTGTTCTGTGCTGAAGACGAAAGATCGAAATAAAGTTGTATTGTATTAATGATCACAAAATTGAGTTTTTTTTTTAGCAGCAATTTTTCGTGTAAGTGCGTCATGAGATTTTTTTCCCTGATAATTTGGCGCCACACGAACAAAAGTTTGGGAAGCGCTGCACTAAACCATCACTAGAATTCCACGTTTACCTGGTGGTACCTCTCTTGGTAAATTTACCAATTTGTCATGCCCAGTCGCCCAAGTTCTACCATGTGTTTGTTACTGATCTCCAGTACTGCAAGATTAAACTATATTTAAGTACAATCATTATCTATTACATCTCGTCCTACTCGCTACTACTATCATATCCGCAGACACTCATTCTTTCCCTACACTCCAGTATTCAAATATTTAACGGCACATGATTTTATGGTACTCCCGAAGTATGTGAACCAAGATGGCGGACACCGCAACGTAGTACGTGTACCAGGGCTATGAATATCTTTTGAGGTTAACGACGCATTAATAAATAAAGCCGAGGAATATGTTTGGTCACTGTATGGAGAGGATATGAAGAAAATAAATGATATCCGGACAAGTCTTTTCAAAACTGGCGAACATAAGGATTATACTCTTTCACGCAACAATGATTCACTGAAGAAGCATGTTCTGAGGGCAAATAACCAGACAGGACTTCATCACTGTTGCCAAGAACCAAGGCCAATTATTCTCCCACCAATTGGCCATGAATGGGTTTTTGATGATGGTGTTTTGCGGGGTAAATTGATGGATCTACTTCCAGCCCCCAAATCAGTTCCTGTGTTGGCAAACTGCAAGTGTAGGAAAATAGGTGTCAAAATAACTTATGCGCGTGTGCCGAAAACAACCTAAATTGCAAGGATTTTGCTATCGGCTGCAAAAACCACAGTACATTTATAGAGGAAAAGTCCATTTTCGAGAATGAGGATTTCGGAAGCAATTCAGAGGAAAGTGAATTAGATATTGGAGGTAATTAAATAAATATTATTTATTATTTTTTTTTTCAGACATCGGTTAGCGTCAAAGGTCCTGTTTATATAAATAATATTGCCTTTGTTTCAAATACACAACCACCAAAACTGAAAAAAACTAATTGTAATATTGCTGTTCACTATGTTATGTACATACTGTATTCATTTGATTTTCTTGACTTTTCCGGTAGATTTCTATGAAAAATAACCGATTTATTTGTGTTTTTGTGCTCACGATGTTAATTTATGACTTCATTGCTTAAAAATGAATACGTTCGATAGCTTCTATAAAATAAATGCAACTTATACTGTTCTTTGTCGTAAACTGCTTGTCTGAAGAAGTGTGATTTTGGTCAGACAAAACGTTCCAGAAATACATTTGGGTTAGTGTGCAGCAGGGCTTTTGAATTGCATAGTTCTTATGCTGTGTTGTTGTAAACCTATGGTTATTGATTTTCTGGGAACCCCTTATATTCAATTTCGCATCAGAATTGTGGAACAAGCTGTAATGCGTTCAGTATGTTCATTTTCATACAAAACTAAATGATTTATTCAGTTACCAGATGTGCGCTACGAAACTCATTTTCAGGGCCTCGTCTTACGGCCTATATCCATGGTGCGGATCTACAAGTGTTCAATAACTTATATATACTTTTTAACACCGTCTGAGTATAACTCAAATAATAAAACTAAAAAAGACGATGGAGAGGCTACGAACTGAGATTCATCCGACCGCGAACAGCTGATCGAATTTTAATTGTTATGTAATACAGAAGTCTGCGTTCGATGGCCAATGTTGCGGAAAAGTAGAGAATATAGGGCAGATCGTGGGGCATATTTCTTGTAGTAAAATCGTCTTTTTCTTAAAACGTGCAACTTTTGGAAAAGGGAACAAGTTCCCTTATGTGCGCTACGAAACTAATTTTCTAGGCGTTTTTCAGGGCCTCGTCTCACGGCCTATACTCGCGAATGTGCGATGAATATAAGTTCTGGAACGAGTTCTCAGTATACGTCATCAAAGGCCTTTTCCGAACTGCGGTCGATTTTCGTTGAAACGGTTTTAGTAAAAGTAGAAAACTAAGTCAATTTTATAAAATAGTAAGCGTCAAAAATTCTGCGAACAAAATATTACGAAGAATCAAATTCATTAATAAAAAAATTTCTGTAATACCCCAACTCCAAGGTTTTGTTCGCTTCCTGATTCTGAAATCAGTTTTATTTATTTAGCTTTATCAAATATTTTATCGTCTATTCTGCTGATTGTGGAGTCGAAATAAACTTATACTTTTTCTTACAATAACTGTGTAAGCAAATGAAGAAATGTTTCTCACAGCATAGATTTCCTCGATTATTCTGTAATAATGACCAATCAGCAATAAGTGAACAATGACTAAACAATTGCAATGTGTGAAACCGCCCAAACATTGTCATGTTTTCGTGGTTTTGCGTGTTATATGTCAGTTTTCGGTTGTGTTTCTAAAAAATAGTTGTGGATCAAATAACTTGATTGTTATTTTGTCCTTTGAAGAGCTTTAATTTAGTTGGAAGCTGCGATAGACTAGTGCATACGTAGCTATCAGTACATGTAAGAAGAAAGTGGTTGAATATAAAAGAAAATGATGGTTTCAAACAGGTAAACCAGTTTGTAAGCGCTAACTCTCCAAAACGCTCTCGTAATAAGCGTAAAAAGTATTTTCTGGAGTCAAGGGTCGGAGAAACATAACAATTGTTATATTGTTAACTTATCGCTGATTGGTCACTGTTACCTAAACAGACAAATAAATCGACCAGCGGTAAGGAGAATTATCATTGCCTACATAATTATCCCCCTCGGGATTCGAACCTGTGAATCTACTATGAGTAATCAGCAACGTGATAACAAAAGCAATCCAATGGGCAGTCTAATAATTCGTTTGCTTGTCTTGGCAGTTGGCAAACTGTGTTGGATATGTAAAGAATGTCGCTGATTTAGTTTGTTGCATTTTCTGCAATATTGTGGTTTGAGGGCTGCAATATTGTGTTTTGAGTTTCTTCCTTTCCAAAAATTTCATTTCATACTCGCATGAACCCGCAAGCAACCTGGAGGCTGCGATTTTCCATATCTAAATATCATGCGTCATTTCATTAATGTTTCATTGTGCCGCGTCACGTGTTTTATGCCAACTGAGAAAAATAAACCAATCTTGTATGCATAAATACATGTGCTTGATTGTACACGAACAGCATACCTAGGGTAAATATCTTTCACCCTTTATTTTCAATATTTCGTCCTGAGAATGTATTTAGTCTCTCAGGTGTTCTGGCGTAAAAACTTGAAATGCAATCTCTAAAAGCTCATTTCTCACAATATTTTATTGAACTCGTCAAAAGCAATATTTACACATAAACAACATAATACTTTTTTGCAAAAAATATATATACGTTGATGCACGGCTGAAAATTATTATCGAAATTGGCTGCTTTCGTTGTGATTACTCAAGAATCGCTAATTCCTCTGGATTAGCCTGGCGACTAGATACTATCGATCCTGCAGCATCGTTACGCTGAAACGTTGGCAAAAGAACGGCATTATCGTTTTCGGAATCTAGTGACCGTGTGCTCCCAAGAGACCATCGGATATCCAGTCTTGCTCGATATCATTGCTCATTCCTCGCATCACTGAACAAAAATTGAATAATATGAGTACTGACCGTCCTCTGTTAAAAATAGATAATCTTTTGTCGTCAAATGACTGATCTATGTCTATTTTCAGTCAATGGAGAAACATAAAACTTCGTTATTTTACCCACTCTCCCCCAAATGGAAGCAGTGTGATAGACAGTAAATAATCCTAGTAAATACTCCATAATAGTAACTTAGTGAGTCCATATTTTAACGTTGTGATATATATATAATTATATATATTTATATATATGAAAACTGCAACAAATGAACTTGCCTGGTTCGTTCCAGTTGTCCGACTTCTCAAAGTCAGTCTGAAGCTGATTGTAAAAGTTGTTCATGTATTCGGAGTTTGTCTTTTCTTTTTCATTGTTCCTTAGAGATAAAAATTTTTTTTTTTTAAAAAACAACATGAAACATTTGTGATTGAAAAAAATAGAATCGGCCAATAGGCCCTGTAGCTCTACCACATGTATCTATTCTAACCAGGTGGATAGGTCTTAAAATATTGAAATCTGGATTTTAAAATTACTGAGATCTATTCCCGGTCGTGTTCGACTTTTAGTTTCATTCATGGACCGAGGTCGTAGTAATGGAAGTAAGCCCGCTATTTCAGTAGTGTACACCTATAGAAGTTTCATTAGATGTATCTTTATTATGGGGACTGTTTTAACGTATATCTGAGACATTACTAATATTACTTTCTTGAGCCATTTTATGGAAGTCTTTGATTTTTTCGAATCACTCAAAGTTTGCTTAAAATTTTAAACGTTTTTTAACAAAAGTTCACAAAAAGAATATTACCGTTAGTAATAATAAGATATATCTTTGGGATAAGTTAAAAACAGATAATGATAAAATACCGTGATACATCAGAATCGTAAGGGTGATAAAATTCTCTTTTTCCTCCTGGAGATAAGCCAGTTGTCCAATGTTGCTTCTTATCGATAACTGCTCTTCCACCAGGTGCTAACCCGCTTGTCCAATGTTGACGAGTCATCAAGTCAGGATTGTAAGGATTTTTTCGCAAAATTGTCAGCCATATCAAATAGCCAAGTTTCTTTTTGTTTAAATTTGAAACCACCGTGTCATCATCCTCTTCTAAGCCGTTGAACGATCTTTTTCCACCGGGGCCTATACCTGTCGTCCAGTGTTGTCGTTTCTCTTCGTTGTTTTTTACGTTTGAAAACAGGACATCGTAAACTGACTCAGGTACTTGCCCGTCTTGATTAGAATGACAGGCTGAATTTGCCGGGAATGCGAGCAGGCATTGTATTGTTGATACGATTACAAACACAGAAAATAGTTGATGTATGTACATATTTTATTCAAGGTATAAAAGCTGAATAATGAAATAAACTGAATTTATAATGAAATATATAATACCGATTTTAGATATTGAAATAATTAAACAATATGGACGAAACAATACGTTACGGCAGATGCATTTAGTGATAAATAACCCTCCAGTATATCACCATTTTGACGCGAAAGATGTCTATATTGGGGCACGCAACGCGAAATTGCTACAACTTTGCTCCATGCTGGAAATTTCGCACACAATGAAAAGATTTCCAATCATTTCAGACAAGTAGCAATCATGCGACTTTAAACTATAATAACCGGAAACGTATGCTGGCTTTGCTCAGCGTACCAGCAAGATTGAACTAAAAAACAACCTTGCTTGTCTTTTATAAAGCAATAAACGAACTCCCTAATTTAGTTATCCAGTATATATCTGAATACGCATCACACGATTACATTGTATACATATGTAGGAACATAAATCATTACTCTCTAATTGGATTATAACGTAATTAGTTTGAATGAATTGGAATATTAGTTTTGGTCTTGACGTTGCAGTCATGTACTAGAAGACTTCGAACATGCTTTCAAGTTGTCTCTTACTGACATACTACATCGTCTACTGTACTTTCATTAATTAATGGCAAAATGAAGATTATTATATGTAATATTATCCGTTCCAGTGAAGTTAATTTATTTGATGTTCATCGAATGTAAAGTTGCCAGATTAGCAATATTGAATTGATTATTGATAGACGGCGAAAGACAACAGGCGGTGAATAATATACTGACTAGCGGCTCTAATCCTTTGTAAATATATCGAATAAAGTATATTTCACTTGGCGCCATTGTGTAGAGGCAATAATTTAATATTGACCTTTGGAGGTGAAAAAATTAAAAAATGTGGAAGTACAATATCATGTTACTTCAAACCGAAAAAAAGAAAGAAACAGGAAACACAGTTCTAAAATTGAATGTATATGATGGGCTATTTTCAAGCTTGGAAATGTTTCTACTTTGGTGGTGAAATCAAATTTTGTATGAAGCAAAGGTGTTTACACTGTGCTTTCGATATCATATCTTTTCACAAGAACATGGATTAAAATGTTATAAATTATTACTTCAGGACCCACAGAAAATTAAAAAAAATTGTATGAACAAATTCATAGCGACGTTACTATAATTTGCATTATTTCTGATTTGCCACCCTCATCACTTTTCCGAGTTACTCACCGCATCCAAACTCTTTCTCATTTTCAACTACACCCTGTAGTTGCGCTGCTAGTAATAGTATTCGAAGGATGACTATCGACGGCTCGTGATGACTACTTCCTCCTGGAGATCATGAACTTTAACAATTGTAAAACAGCACTTTTGATGAAAAACCCTGTAAGCGACCGCGTGATTTTGAGCGAAGTTATTTCGAATTAAATTTAAAACTTAATTTCTACATAGATCATGGTCAAGCTTGTCGTGAAATAGACAATTGCACAACATTTTGATATTTATGCGTTCAACGCTCTGCTCAATGCATTGAAAAAAGTCTTATCATTTACAATAATTTTCATCAACATCAAGATAACTGTTTGATGTGCTGTTCAATGAGTGCACAAAAGATGTCAATAACCTATTTAAAAAGTAATTTAACTGGTAACGAGTCCTAATACTCATATGCTCTGCATTTTGTTTTGTCTTTATGTACAAATTCAAAATGTTCCATTCCTTGTTACATTACTATAACGGGATAGGATTGACACCCGAACTTATATAAGACAAGGTAAAGATTATGCACGACGAAAAAAATTGATTTCAAATAGAATCAATATTGATAAACCGAATAGTATTCAACCTAAAAGTAGGGGTTGATTAGCAGAAACGATAATAATTAGTGACGTAATTATTTAAATTCCTCGTTATTTGAATTTTTGTGGAGAAAATAATTATTACATAACTAATTTTGAAATGCTTACGCTGAGACTAATTTAAATCTCTTTTCAAATAACTTCATTATCAATCCAATCACGAATCTAAATAATATCCTATTATGCAAATACAGGTAATCATCAAATTAACAGACACCTAGGCGCGGTAAACAATGCAGCTACCCTACCCTTTTTGGCTGCCTTTCAGCTGTTGATTGCCCATTATCACAAAAACTAGCATAAATGTTGAAAAGCTGGTACTCCAGTAGTGTGTTTACCAGGTTAGGATTAGTCCATAATTTTATTCCGATTTTCCTTTTTTTAGTGCTATTACGAGTTCGGGCACTGTCTGTGTTGGCCAAGTGAATATACCCCCTGCCCATAAGTTTCAGTCCTTTTACACAACTTGATGTAAAGTGAGCAAACAAAATTAGTTACCTCCATATTGGTACATACACTTATGAGCGCCAAAAAACTTGCTGTGAGTTTGATATCGGAATCTTTACATGAGTCAACGAATTTGAGACTTCTTTGAGTTATTCTTCAATTGCAATTTATACGTATAAAATCATTTTTTTCATAATATTTTATGGGAAGTAATAACCTTATTATCATTGAATAATCTCAGTCAAAAACTAAATAGATCTATTCAATAGTGTATATCTTGAGCAAATATATTGAAGAGGTATCTTCACCTGAGTCGACGTAAATGATTTTGCGTAGCTAATTATACCTTTCCTTTTTAATTCAAAGCTGTTCCGGATGCTTCCACCGCTTTCTGGGGGAGGGTATGTGTAACAGCACGACGTGTTGACATTTATAGAGATCCAGTCGCCACACACATTAATTGAAAAAGTGTTTCAGAATCTTGGACATCAATATTTAAGCGCATAAAATATACGAATTGGAGTCAAATGACGCACTGATGTTTCGATGGATGACCCCATTAGCTGCATGGTACATTTTACAAATTATGCGAATATCTTTTTTTAATAGTATGAAATACGTTGAATATAATTATGGGTTTCTATATCATCTGGAAATCACCCCACCGTAATGAAGCCAAGGTTTTTTTTTTTTTTTAAGCGTTGCTCTTCTACTTGAATAATTACATATTATAGTTCATTCTATATCGATGGCGATCTCACAACTTGTTTTCGTTGTCAAAAGTTATCGGCATCCGGCGAAATTTGAAAAAAATAATAAAAATTCTATTTTCAGATGACTAAAACAGGAGGATGAACTGTGAAAGATCTAAACTACGCTACGTTGTGATTATGACGTCGTTTTACGCTCAAATCCTTTTCTTAATGTGCATTAATGCTATAGCTATTTCTATGCTATTTGACATCCTGATCAGGTCGGACTGTTTTAAACTGGGGGCCAAATTTTTTTTTACGAGGTCTGACTGTCTGAGAGTTATTTCACTTTTATGGATATTTTGACAGTGTGCCAATAATAACTCCATCTTTCTTCAAATCTCTTGACTTCTCATTACGACGTACGAGGCACGTGTATGCTTTTGTCCAAGATGTTAATATACTCACCCTGGCATGAGCTTATTTCAGCATTAATATTAATTTTTCCCGCCAAAAATGAATGGCATTTTACGTCAAGCTGTTTCAGTTTGAAAGCGTATCTCGGCAATTATGTCATTGTGCATATAAATATATATAGAATGTATATACGCATTAAAGATTGTTTAGACGTAAAATACGATATTCATCAAATATGCATGGACTAAATATATATAAGCGAAATTGGATTGGGTCCTTCAGCCCCGTTGTTTAACCAAAGATTAGGATAAATTTGTCTCATGTAGTCATGTAAACAATATCGTAATTATGTGATGACATTCACCCAGAATTAAAATTGACGATACTATATTTGAATATGCAAAATCAAATGAACTTGTCACATACACACAAACTCCCCTTAACACTGAGAAAGGACAGACATCGAAGGTCTAAACATAATACGACATTATTTCATTTTATATTATTAAATTTACCCTTATTTCAGAATAATCATGTTTTAATCCATTTTTTTGATGATGGTTTGCGGAATGTATGTATGTGTCGCATAGCCTTAGAGTGTCGATAAAAAGCCTTCGTCGAGAACAACTTCAAATTTCCAACATTAAAACATATATTATAATTTATGACTATTTGATATTTTGAGAGCCATTTTCCCCCAACAGAACTCAAGCCATCAACAAGTTTCACAGTCTGTGATTGAAAGCATTAGCAAGAAAACAGAAAGCGATAACAATTTCACTATATAGAAATGCTATATGCCCCGGCTATATGAGCTGATCTCTTGGTATTCTAACACCCAACTCGAAAGTTCAATATACGACTTCTTTTCGGACTCCAAAAATTGACATAACGCAAAACTGTGACTCCGCTGTTTTGATTTTCATTGTCAAACGATTAAAAAACACTCTTTATCGCCCAGCAGTGACGGTTCAGATTTTAGCGATATTTTATTGATGATATGTAATTGAATTCATTTTGACTTCGATTTTATATTGGGTGTGTAGTGGTCATTTTAGTATACGTACATTACGTAAATTTAAAATATTCATGAAACGAGAGAAAGAGGACACGAACAAAATATTAAATTGGTTTGCTGAAGACGTTTCTCTATTATCTGCCACCAGGGCTGTGGATGGAATTTGACATGTTTTCACTGGAGTTGTAACCGGAGTCGTATTTTCCGGACTCCGGAGAGTAAAGTGGAAATTATGAATTTCAGGTGGTCGCAGTATTGTTCAAAATCTCAGGAAGCATTGAGTGCTTACACCAAAGTTTTTGATTCTATCGGAGTTGGATTTCGGAGTCAAACTTTTTTTCGAAGTTCGGACTCAAATGTCATTTTTCCCGAATCCGCGTCCCTGTCTACCACTGTTTTCCACGTATAACTAGTATGATGTGACATTGCTAATGTGAATTCTACCTTAATTTTACGAAAAATAACAAAATATTATTTCGTGTTCACAGCGGATAAGCAACTTTTATTACATATATATGTACAAAATTTGCAAAACATTTTATAATATATTACCCTATCAGATAAATATTATAAACACAAAAACTTCATTTGTGACTAACAAACGAAACTCGAAGTTTAAGGCGTCTTACATCATGGAATTGGTGTTATATTCAAGTATTCGATTTACCATAATTTCGACCTTCATTGCAGATATACTTAAATTAGGTTGCTACCCACTTGTCAACACCTTTCCCATCCTTGAGGTTATGTACACAAGTAGGGCGTTGATTTCAGAGGTTTGAATTTGGCATTCAAGGCCATGAAAAAACATTGCTTGCGTCATGTTGTTAAATTTATTGTCAGTAATTTACGAGAAAGTTTATTACAATTGTAACAATGTTTCTATGGTAACCAGTACTGCAGAATGAAATAAAAAATATTTTGGTGTCGACTTGCTGTTGCGCTCCTATCTGCATTCTACATGATACTGAATCTGGGAAATTTGGAACAAATACAAATCATATGTTTTTGTAAATTATTTTCAAATAGCCCTAGTTTGGAACGTTTTTTAATTTAGTCAATTTTTCAGAAACGATGCAGCGAAAAATATTGAATAGTCGATTATTTCAAATAGAATACAAATATTTCTATCAAATATTGGCGATTTGTTACAAGTATTGCCCCATTCTTATAACAAAATCTTCTCATCAAATCCAGTTGCTTTTTTTAAATTGATTTCAAAAAGAGACGTAAAAACGACGCATTTGCGTCCTCAAGTTGCGTAACAAAGAACTTTGTTCTAACATTTACCTAATGGGCGTCATGCGTCACACAAACATATTGCGATTAGTATGGGCGTAGCTTCCGAATACCATTCTATTATTCCACACTGCATTTAGAAATATTTCAGCCTTTTCATGCCTGACATCAATCATAAACGTTCACTGTATTTAATTTTTGCGTGAAATTGACGTAAAATACAAATAACTCGTCATGACCGCGGAAGCGGTATTTTGACTTGACTATAGGTAATTTCGCTTCTTCTAAAACATTCAAGACTAGTATCACTAATTAGAATCATTTAAAGTATTTCATTTTACAAATGTCCCTCTTCACAATGAATTCACTTTTTTAACGGAATTACTCATGAGAGAAACATCGTGGAAATTTAGTCTTTGTCGGAATCCTAATTCCTCTAATGACCTTGTGTGAGTCACGTACAGCATTAATTCTGTGCCAAAACTCATTAACTCTTATATGATTGAAATATGTTAAAGTCATTGATTATTCATGACAGGGTTGCCAGATTACGTACATCTCGTTTGGTGATAAAATCCAATTTTTTTGCTATAACTAAGAATTCTGCTTATAAAATATTAATGTTGCTACGATCTGTTCATATATTATAGATACAATTTACTATTTACATGAAGTATTTGATGCTGTGCACAATTAATCTAATTGCTTTCCTGGGGAGTAAGTTGCCGAGAAATGAATAACTCAGCAGTAATTTCGCTACATTATCCGCTGCTTTGGATGTTCCTAAATGTTGCTATTTTCAAAAACACAAACTAACGTTAAAAGCAAAATTGTTTGAGTTAATTATAATAGGTATAAGCAATATTGTAGTCCAAGTATTATTGTTGTTAATGAATAAAGTAACGCGCGGAAGCCATTGAAATACCGAGAACATTGCCGGACGATAACTCATGTTTAATAGTCTATCTTCCGGCTGTTTCAATGATTTCTTAGGCCAAAAGTACATAGTGGTAGTGAGGATAAAAGCATTATTCCTATGCGTAAAATTCTTCACGATATGTGACCCCGCCAAATGTAAATATACTTTTAGATTGACGACAAAGCGTGGAAACGACGCGTGAATCAAATAGTCATTTAATATTTCTCAGCGTTTACAGGAGTCGAATACGTTCTAATTTGTGATAACATGAAAGCTCAGAGTAAATGATAATACGCAGTTTCGGAGAGACTTGGCAAGAACAGGAGTGATTTGATGTATATCGCACTGTAAATTGTTGTGTAAGTCAGACAGCCCTCAGTATAGCTTGAACACCGTTAACGATTGGTAAACGACAATACCAGACTATAGTACAGTCTTGCTGAATTGAAAGATATTAATTAACAATATCAAATAAACTTGCAGATGAATAAATTACAACATTGTTCTTTAATCCAGAATTTCCAGATAATTGAATGCATTTCGTGCAGTGCGTTCAGTTTGGGTTTTGATTTGGCATTTTTTTCTGTTGGTTAGAAAATTTAACACTAGCATATCCGATATGTGTGTGATTCATTTGCTAATATCCTAACTAGAGTTGAGGATATATAGGATAGGATATTAGGCTTATATGAATTTCGGAATGTTTGAAAACCATGCCTGAAAATATTTGTGTATGTTTCAATCTACTGAATGTAATAACGTCCATATTTAACAAAAGTAGACGCGACAACCTGACATTAATCCGCTGTCTTTACAGATCTAACAAATCAAATGGCCAATGTACATAGTGTTATTAGATGCGTTACGTCCAAGCATGTCTGTTTTCCGCTCATTTTTACAATTGCTGCAATATCTTTGGCGGTGTCTCTGATAGAATTTTCTGGGATGACTACACCTGCATGGACTGGTCACGACTCCATGCAGAAGCCATCGCAATTTTCTTACTCTGTTAAAAGTGAACTAAAAATGTGGAAAGATTGGAAACCAGCGGTAGCCAGGCGAGATTTTTTGGAGACACCCACAGAAAAATTAACAGGTAAGACCGGTCATCAAACGTTACTTTGATGCTATTACAACGAATGAAATTGTTTGAAAGTCGCCAAATTGTTTATAATTGATACGGTTTACTTAATCATAGTCAAATTTATAGGCAACTGGAAAAAATCCACCTAGAAACCAAGCAATATGTGGCCAAAATTATTCGATATTATCATCTTATGAAGTGTTAAAATTATGTATTTTTGCAAATTATGGTTCAGCGATAATGATTCCATTAACTGTTCAACACTTGTGTTTTGAATCATGTTCAAATATATATACTATTTCAGATCATGTCCTGCCAAATTGACATAGACTTAAAGTCAACTAATACCGTCATCTTTGTCGACACATATGCAACATACTGATTTCACTATATTGAATAAACTATATAATTCAGGTCTTTCAAACTGAAGTTATTAATTCTTTATTTATTTTTTCTATCGATTTTCTTCAGAATTGCAATATCAAAATATGGACCCTGTTCCGAAAATTAAACTCCCGTTTGTGACAATGAATAAAAAACGAGTTAAGAAAAAATCCTCGAAGAAGAAAATAGCAAAGACGACGACAAACATTCCAACGACTACTCTGACTTCTAGAACGATGAAAACTACAAAAAACGCCCAGTCGATATTGCGTCATTTGCCACAAATACATGTAAACATATCAAAGGATGACGTAGGAAATTTGACGCAATTTGAATCAGCATTAGACGACGTTTTATATCCTTTTGTTAGTGACACAAGCAACAGCACTCATACCAAATTTGAACTGTTACCAGAACAAACAAAAGGTGATTTTTGGTTTTTCCATTTAATTAAACCTAGACGGAAATTAATAGTATTAGTTTTTAATCAATTTAAATTAACAAGAGGTAACTCCTCCCATAAATTTGGAAATCTTTTATCAATCACACCAAAAATGTCTGCACAGTTAGAATTAGTTTTTTTTTTTTCATTATTATGGCATCAGTTCAGAAATATTTTCTGTGTATATGAATTTTCATGATGAAATATACCGCAAGTTACTCTACTTTATAGAATCAAACAAAATCAATTTATAGGTAAAAAATCAACTTGAATCATTATTCTCCTCTTTTGTGTAGGTGTCATAATCGTAACGAACTATCGGTCAGGTTCAACATTTCTTGGACAATTATTTAATCAACATCCACAAGCCTTTTATACGTTTGAACCTCTATTTCCCTTCGGGTGGAACTGCACGTCAGAGGTAGTGTATATTTTTGTTTTGATACTTTTAATAAACCTTGGAACGGTAACCATGGCTTTTAGAAACTAGCATCCTTTTCTACGAGGCTCTTTTACGAAATGTCATTTCAATAGGGTCACAAGAGCACTTTCTGGATGGCCAAAAAAAATTATCAAAGAATTACTCTAACTATCACAATCTGATACCGATTAACATAAAACAAAAGCATTTCATGTCGACAAATACATCTCAAATTTTCAAAGTATCAAGAAAAATCAATTCAGCTCGGCCTACGGCTCACCGAATACATTATTTTCCTTGTTGCGCTACATTCTGAATTGTGTCCAAAATAAGACATTGGTTTACTACTGAAAAAGACGATTTAATATTGATAAATATCGATTAGAAAACACACACACACTCCCTTTAACTTTATATTTCGAAGAACTTCAAAAGATAATAGGACGTCTGTCCACCGAATGGTCAGTTTACGTGAGTTCAATTGCTTCCTTGTTTGTCCAGGGAAAAATGTAGGTCCTACGCACACTGGTTTGTTTGATCAGTAGAGCATAATGAAGGTTGAGTTAATATAATCTCAAGACAATCAAGATATGACGCAAGTTTTATTGAATGTTCACGCGAATAGGATTTTCATCTATATTCAATACAAATATAGTGATTTTGTGGAAACCCCAGTCTTACTTTCCATATACCAGTGGTTCCCAGCCTACTAGGACTCGTGGCCCCCTTCTGGAGGCTTTAGCACTCATGGCCCCCTGTTTATCATTCCAGTGGTATTTAAAGTGGTTATTATGATTGGTAGATTCCAAATCCTATTATGTTTAAACAACTCATGCTCAACAAAGTAAAAACACCCTGTGAAATAATGATGTCAAGCAATGAGTAAAACGAGAATATCGGTCGGATCCCGAAGACTTATCGATCGGAACTGCAGTTTCGATTCGTGACTCTATAGTGACACCGCGTGTCCCATCACTAATTAACTAATAACTCGCTAATTATACGACATAATCAATCCAAAATCAATAGGCTTCTGGTCCGAGATATCATGAATGCACATGCAAAATTTGGAGCAGATTCAACCTCGCCTTCGTGAGATATCGCGTGCATCTAACAGACAGACAGACAAACAGACAAATACCTATCAACATACTTACCGATCTAAAGATCGATAAGTAATAAGTTTTACATCATATTTACCAACGTAAGTCACTACGTAAGCTACATTAACATGATACGATGTACATAAATCTTATTTATAACTTCCGAGGCGACAAATATAACGCTAGTCGTCAACTGCGGTGTACGTTACACATTTGCTGTAGTCGGCCAACGCCTAAAACAAAAAACAAGACCGGGTTCGCTGATTATCATACAATTCCAAGAACGGGTTCGTGCGAACCCCTGAATCCGACCATAAGGCCACACTGATTTTAGATCTTTTTCATTTTGTGTCTTTATTTTGGCAGGTTCAACGTCGTGTTTCGGTGCTACACAATATGTTAAAATGCAATTTCCCGGACTTGAAAACACTGTATAATGAGATTGGTGTCGATATCAAGAACTTGAAAGTACTGACAGATCCCAATGTGCATGCGAAATGTATTGAAAACAATTTTTGCTTCAGGTAATGTTTATGCATGGTGTTTTTAATTGTCTCGTTTCAATGAAGTTTAATTGTATTTTTTTAACTAAAATAATATTATCCATTTAGCACAAAAAAATTTAACAAAATATTTCCTTAATCAGGTATAATCACAAAGATTTATGTTCAAAAGACATATGCCCAAAAGGAAATGTTGCATCATGTTCGCAGTGCGGTCCCGTCGATCTTGGTCTGGTAAACAACAAATGCAGGTCACGGAAAGTAAGTGGGCTACGGCAAACTAGTTACTACCGCGAGTTCACAGTTACTCATACAAAATTCACGTCGTTACTTTTTGTGTTTTATTTCCAACAATTAACATAAGTATACAGAATAATATTCCTTGGCGCCGCAGCGTTAACTTTTGTGCCGATGGAGAATGCGAAGGACTGACTGTGGGGTGTTTGTCCGCTTTTTTGCATGTTGCAAAGCGTCTCCGCGTTTCATTCAAACCCTTGTCATTAAATTTTTAGATTTCCGCTATTAAAGTCATAAAACTCTGTCATATAAAGAGTTTGGAACCAATTATTCGGGATCCAAGTATAGATTTCAAGGTAAGTTAAGTGACTCGTCAAGCAAATTTGTATTCACATATTTTGAACAAAAATTTGATTATTGTAATGATTTATTAATTATACAGTCACGCACGTCGACAATTTTAAGCTCTCAAAACTAACAATAAACCTCCACTAACGTATGTTCGTGTAATGAGAATAGCAAATTCATTCTGCATGATAAGTTCGCTCGATAATTGCGCAAGGCCTTGTTATGTATAATGAATAAATGGCAATTCTTCGTTAGCATATATCGATCGAATTATTGCAAGATAACATTTTACTTTTAACTTGGTTTTGGAGTTTGCTTGATCGATCTTGTTATATATATGGATTTTAACTTGTTACTATGCGTGTGGTATGCTCTCCATCTCAATATCATGGTTGTTATTGGTTGTTATCAAAGTTGATTATTCAAATTTGAGTCAGTCTCCCAGGAGAATACTAACCTTAAGCAACAACGACATGACTCTCAATTTACAGATTATCCACCTCGTCCGAGATCCACGTGGCATCGCTAGCTCTCGGTTAAAAATTCATAATGATTGGGAAATTGTTGGCAATATTGCCTCCGTATGTGATCAACATGCAACAAATGTGCGGGCGGGAAGAAATGTCCATTGGTTGCAAGACCGATACAAACTTGTCAGGTAATGAATGATAGACTAGGATTCCACAATTTTGCACGAGATCGGCCATTTATTGAATATATATACTATATATATATATCTATTCAATAAATGGCCGATCTCGTATCGGCCAATATATATTATATATATATATATCAAAAATATTTCTGTAATATATTTAATCTATCTAGTACATAATCATACGGCAACCTAAGTGTCTCGAAAATATGGTATCCATGGTTCTACGGAAAATTTGGACATGCGAGCTATAAATGGGACATGACATTTTGAGACACCGCCCATGCTCTGTTATAGAAAAATCCATACAAAAGTATATATTGCTTGTATGAAAGCAAACACAACCACCGCAACGAATTTACAGCTATGGGGTCGATGTTAAGTGAGAATTAATACAGTATTGTATTCAAACAAATTAAATGAAGTTAATTATCCTACCTAGCTCGCAATTCCTGGCATTTAATAATTCGATTGATGTTTGGTATTCAATTGGTCACAGATTGACTTATATTTTAAATGGCATTCAGATATGAAGATATGGCAACAAATCCTATAGGTATGGCAAAAGAAATCTATGATTTTATCGGATTGCCCTTTGTCGACAGCGTTCGATCCTGGATAAACCGGAACACACAGTTACGAAAAAAGCAAGATAGTGTACGCGCTAAAAGACATTTCAATACAAAAGAATATGATGCAGCAAAAGATCCGTATTCAACACAGAGAGACTCTAACACCGCCATGCAGGCATGGAGAAAGCACCTTACATTTCATACTATTAACAGAATACAAAAACGGTGTTTTGAAGCGCTCAGGAGTTTAGGTTACAAAGATTTTAAAAATGAAGAAGATTTACTTAATCTTAATATAAGTGCTATAATAAATACATGACATCTTATTAGTTCGGCACGCTTATTCTAGTACTGAATTTCTTTACGAAGTTGCCGAAATCGGTATCAAAGGCCACTGTCATTGAGAACAACCAGCTCTTCTCGCATCGAATCAACAGTTGATCGGCCCGGACACGTAGTGGATAAATTATCGGCGTGTGGCCCGACTGTGAAGGGCTGAAATATGCTGCAATAAATTTATGTAATTGCATTTTTGTACTTGAACGCAATATCTTTTCTTTATTATGTAATCAAATTTTAATGTCACATACTAATATTCGCAAAATATTAATATTGCCAAAAATAAAGATATTTTGCACGGAAACATGAAAATACTCGAAGTCGTCACATTTTTTATTGCCACTTTCGATGGCGTTTTTCAGGTGGCATAAGAAAATTTGCCTAAGGACAAAGTATTTCGCATTTTTCTTTAAAATCAGATAATTCAACATTCATTATACCTATTAGTAGTTAACACTATTTGAACACAAAGAACATGTATGATTATGGATTCGAAATGAACACATACATACATTATTCGACTGGAAAAAGCATGCTCAACAAGTGAATTTCGAAATTGGGCGTGCGTCATGTTCGTTAGCCGCCGGTTTTGATATATTCGGCATCTTAATTTGTGAGAAACTCTGCAAAATCGAATGATTTTGTTTTGAATAACCAAATTTGATTACACCAAAAATTCTGAACATTGCTTGTGTAACAAATGCTTCACAAACAACAGCTTTATAACGATACAAGCATGTAACATAAGAATATAATATATATGATAAGAACAACTTAAACATCATATTTACTAGTGCATATCACTACGTAAGTTACAATAACTTGTTACTCTTCATAAAAATCTACTAGTAACTAGAGTACGACAAATATAACAGAAGTCGTCATCAGCGGTACAAGTTACTCTTGCGGTCGTCTTACATTTAAACAATAGAGTAATGCTCAAATATATGGACACGTAGACCAGAGTGAAGCAGTCCTTACCTTTAACGTTACAGGTACCCTCAAAAAACTTCCGAGTTTTCAGAAGCATCCGTCACGTTTGGCCGAGCCGCTTGAAATATGTGCTAAAACAGTGTTCCCATGCGTGAAAGTTGAAACAGTGAAATTTTGAATAAACTAGCAGATCTCATAGGAAATTTAAAAATGAATAAAAGTAATGACCTTCTAAAAAAATCCACATTTAACTACTGAAAATTTCTAATCAATTGGTCCAGTAATCGAAGAGAAAAGCGACTTTTTAATAACGTGTCAAAGAACAAGAACAAGCAAGAACAAAAAGAGAGCAACGCTCAAATATATGGGTACGTAGACCAGAGCGAAGCAGTCATTACCTTTGACGTTACCGGTACCGTATCCTCGAAAAAACTTTTGAGTTTCCAGTCGCAAGAATTTTCAAAGTCAGCCGTCACGCTTGGCGGATTAAAAACCGTGTTCCCATAATTAAAAAGTAATACAGCTCAATTTTGAATGAAATATTAGATCAGGGGTCGGCAACCTTTTGTCACTCGCGGGCCAAAATAAAAGGTTGCAAGTCATTGGCGGGCCGCACATATTTTTAGAAAGTTGAAACCCGAACGGATGAGCGATGAATCACTTTTTCACACAGATCAGAAGTTAAATATTAAGCAGCGCGCGAAGACTGACTATTTGAATATTTTTTGCGCCATTAAACCATTTGCACTTAGCATCAACTTTTCTGCGTTTTGCTGCCATTTGTCTAATTATATTTAAATTAATTAAACGCGTAATTATGAATTAGATACTTGTTAGGTTATAATATAATTTAGTTTACACGTGTCTCAAAATAAATTCTTCTACGTAAAGAATATAGTCGTCAAAACAGCTGTTTTGGTACCATAATCAAGTGAAGCGTCGTGGGCCGGTTTCTACTGCTCCGCGGGCCGGATCCGGCCCGCGGGCCGTTGGTTGCCGACCCCTGTATTAGATGATTTCATAGAAAATTCAGGAATATATATAAGTAATGAACCTTTCCCCGAGCATCGACTTCCTTGTTTACTTCGTGACATTGGCCAATCAGCAAGATGCAAAAATTGACGCAATTTTGAATGAAATATTAGATGATTTCATAGAAAATTCAGGAATATATATAATTAATGAACCTTTCCCTGAGCATCGACTTCCTTGTTTACTTCGTGACATTGGCCAATCAGCAAGATGCAAAAATTAAGGTAACAATGCTTCCTTTTTGCACCCGCTCAGACAATTTTCTCACTCAGACAGATTTTAAAGCGTGGTCGTGAACATTACCTCGTTTTCACGTTTTTAAACTAATCTAATTGCAGTTCTAATTCAATTGCAGTAATAGAAAATTAGTGTAGAAATAGCTGTGATATACTAGGCTAAAATTTTTTACCGGTATTTTTAAAAAACAGATTGATGTATGCGATGAATCATAATGATGGTTTAAAACACATATCCCATTTTACAGGCGCCAACTCGCAATAGCACTCTTAAATAGCACCCCGAAAATTTTGCAATGGTAAATTATAGGTCGGGTAGATGTTCATATAGCCTTCTGGCAAAAAAATCAATCTTTAACCACTGAAAATTTCAAAGCAATTGGTCCAGTATTCGATGAGAAAAGCGATTCTATCATGACGAAGAAGAAGAATATCAGCATAACAAGAAGAACAGCATAATATCAAAACGATTCATGGGTCCACTCACGTGTCCAACAAGAGAGTAGTGCTCAAATATATGGACACGTTAATCAGAGCAAAGCAGTTCTTTCCATACCTTTGACGCTACCGGTACCTACGGCGCTGTTCGTAATTAACAAATCATAGCAAATCAAGAATTTCGCTCCACACCACCACCACGTTCGATGAGCACGTGATCAAAAGAACAAGAGTGCCCAATCCATTATGTGCCAAAAAAAACGAATCCCATAGTGCTATCAGGAATATTTGGAATAAATGTAATAGCCTTCTAGAGAAAATTTTTATCTATCCCCGCTGAAAGTTTCAGAGCAATTGGTCCAGTAATCAAAGAGAAAAGCGACTTTTTAGGTTTTCCACTAAATGTCCAAAAAGTGTCAAAGACAACAATAACAAAATATTGAAACGATCGTTATGTCCACTAACTGTCCAACAACACGAATACCAAAACGATCGTTATGTCCACTAATAGTCCAGCGGATAAGACCTCGAATATGATGGAATTGTGCACTTTTGGATGCAAGCATGAAACTTGGCACACATGTACAGTAGCATATTCTGATTAATTTTGGATATGGTGTCATCCAAGAAAATACCTCGTTGCCATGGAAACGAGGCATCATCCGTATTGCTATTAAAGGGAAATAAACATTACTTTAGGAAAGGATATTTTCAAGATAAGTAAACCGATGTGTATAGAAGAAGTAAAGAATATGATCAGAAGTGCATTTTGACAATTTGCCTTGAAAACAGAATACCTGTTACCATGGAAACGAGGTATCGTTATCGACCAAACACGATTATAAGTCGCACAACCTGTATTTCTGTTATTGTCATGGATAACAAATTAAGCTACATTCACTTTCAAAATGTAATTCCTTTTGTGCTCAATCAACAGCCATCGCCAATGGTATACTTTCAAACTCATAGCCACGTGAAGCTGGTGAAAATATAAAATGTATATCTCATAACTGACGGATTACTGTTATCTTGGAGCTATCATATCGTCATCATATACTGTATAATAATAAAGATAAATTCATTCTCTTAACTTCGGCATTAGTATCTCAGTCAGATAAAAACGGAAAACTTGCATTACATTTCAGCTCAAACTCGGCTGGAATCGTTGATTATTCTAATCTATATCTAACGTCGCCTTATGTATGCTTTATGTGCTACAAAAAGAAATAAATAGAAAAACGATTGAAACAATTATTTTTTCCAAAAATATATTCCACAAAGACTCTCCAATAACTAGTGGGGGCAATTTTACTATTTAGATATATACTCCTGCACTTTTGTATGCAAGCATGAAACTCGGCACACATGTACAGTAGCATCCCCCGATCAAGTTGAAGTTTCAGAACTCTGGATCATGTTTGGAACGGGAAAGAATCAAAGGATTCTACCGATTCAAAAAATTTCCAAGAAGCTCGGGAAGGAAAAGTCACAGAGTTCACCCCTATTTCACGCTCTAACAGGATGTTACACAACGTCTTTCTTCCTTGGTCATGGCAAAAAAAGGGCTTGGACAACGTGGGAAAATCTTCCAGATCTGACCAAGACGCTGTTAAGCCTACTGAAGCTAGAGGGGACAAGCGAAGTGCCTGCACAATGCATTCAAATGATTGAAAGATTGATCGTTCTGCTCTACGATCGGACAAGTATGTTGTCAAAGGTATGTACAGTTGAACTTAGCAATTACCCAGATGTTAGTTAGATGTTGAAATACGGTTGAATCCTAATTGATGACTAGAATCGACAACATTTCGACCTCTTTCTATCGACATGTGCCAGCTAGGTAAGCCAAAAAATAATTTAGACTCATAGGATATTGAACAAACTTCAGAAGCAGCTTTCCGCTCGGATAATTATGTTAGGTTAATGAGCCACGACATCATCTGTTTACAAAGAAAGGGAAAATGCCAGAGAACATTCCCCCTACATCAAATTCTCTGCTGCAACACATACGTAGAGCAATATTCCAAGGTATGTTTATTTGGAGCAAAGCAACAGAGGTTTCACAAAATTTATCTGATGCACAGAGATGGGGATGGGAAAAAGTAGGAGACAAATTTTCACCAAGATGGATGACTATCCCTGAAGCAGCAAAAATTTGCACAGAGCTAATTCATTGTGGCTGCAAGAAAAGTTGTGCTGCTCGCTGCAAATGTTTCCGTGTTGATTTAGCATGTAGGCTACACCACTATGTTTCTGTGATGGGGATTGCGGCAATAACGACTGACATTGCAAAATTGATCGGGGGATGCTACTGTACATGTGTGCCAAGTTTCATGCTTGCATCCAAAAGTGCATGATTTTACCTCTTATCCGCTGGACTATAACGCGTCCAATAAAAAAAAAACGGGTACGCTGATTACACGTCATTCCAAGAACACGTTCGCGCAAACCTCCTGAACCCCACCCCACCCCACTGGATATGAACAGTGGTGAGATTCAGCCGGTTCGCACCGGTTCTATAGAACCGTCTCGAGAAATTTTATGAGATCAGCGAACCGGTTAGCTTTACTGATTACTGTCAATGTTCTGTTTGTAACAGAACCGGCTGAAAAATATGATAATTGTGAGAAACCGG